CCGGCTATACAGCACTACTGTCCGTTGCGAGCTCAGAGGCTAGGAGTTCTGGGTATTGAGCTGACTGCTCCGGGTGCAGAGGCCGGAGGGAGCAATGTCTGCTCCACCAGTAACTTTTGGCTTTTGAGCCTGCAACGGACGCCTTGGTAAAAATTGGCAGTAGAATCTGTGTTCCAAAATACCATAGACCTACAGCCGGCTGGAAGATTTCCAATAGCTTCTATAGCCGGCTACACAATTTCTTATAGCCTTTTACAGCCGATGGCGACTGAGCAACTCACAGCCAGGCGATAAAGTGTACGCTAAACGTTACTAATTACAGATACTAGGACTTAGTTGGTTTTTGGACTACCGCTCTCTTTTTGTGCCGTGGTCTTGATTTATTTTGCGAGGGAAGCTCCGTACTTTTGAAGGATGCTTGTCATTCTTAATATGTTGGAGCGCCTTCAATTTCTAATGATACTGTGCAATACCTCTGGTGTGAAATAGTTGCTTCAGACGCCGCGCCGTGGCACGCTGCGGTGCGGCAAGCGGGCAGCCAGCGCAAAACGCGCATTGGCGCCTACAAACCTAACAGGGATACTTCACACGTTGCGCAATGCGTGAAGTATCCCTGTTAGGTTCGTAGGCGCCAGTGCGTCGCCGCTCCGCTTTGTGTTAGGCTCAAATATTTAATCTGGCGGAGTCAGCGTTATTCAACTCATGATTTTGAAATGTTTGCACATCCTGTATGGATTATTCTCGTTTTAATAATTGATGAAAAAAAATATGTATTAAAGGAAAATATAACGTGTGTTTTGTAAATATTGAGGTGGTTTGGTATCAAAATTCATGATTTCCAAAGCACACGAATTTCCACACAATTTCTTATAGCCTTTTATAATCGATGGCGAAAAAGTAACAGTCAGGCGATAAAGTGTAAAGCATGGCTATAGGAACTATAGCCCGGCTGCATAATTTTTTATCGCTTCGAATAGCCCGGCCGTGTGATTTTCTCCGCATTCTACAGCCAGCTATATGATTTTCTGTAGCCTTCTTCAGCCGGCTCTAAGAATTCCTACGGTATTTTGAAACGCAGCTCTTATCGCCAATTTTTACCAGGGCGGTGGTGCCATATAGCCCGTATATAATTAGGTACGGCTTCCACCTCCGCAGTTTTTGAGGAGTATTACCTATGAAGACAGATCAAAGGAGGGTTCGGAGGACAAGGCGCATAAGTGCAGTTTTCGCTATTTCGAGAAAAACGTGTTTGTTCGAAATTAAATGGATCCTTATGGTGGAAAGAAAGTTCAAACTGACATTTGATGCTTAAAAATAGGAATTTGGGAGCGAATTTTTCACAGAATATGCATCAAGATTAGTTTTATTTGAAATCATTAATGTCTCAATTCTTTCAAAAACTGATTTTGTGCGTCTTATCCTCCAAGCCCCTCAAATGGAAAATGCATCATACAAATGACATCATGTGTGCATTTTCCGTTTAAATTAAGTTAATTCAAACACTTGATTCTGTTTAGGCGTAGATGTTCACAGACGTCCCATCGTGTCATTCTTTCTCTTCGTTAAATGTCGTAGGAAAAAAAACGTTTTGAAGTGCTTCAAAATGACTATATTTTGCAATTTTGAACTACAATTTCTGACCTATCTGTAAAAGCACTTATGTGCAAAGGGAAACTAGTGATGCATACGTTATTTCTTAACTAACAATGAGCCAGACATTTCTGGCGCATAGTAGTTCCTAATTCCAAAATGTACTTAGTTCAAATAAGATCTTGCCTAATACAGGGTCGGATTTACCTACTTGCCGCCCATGGGCCGCCTGTATTTTGCCGCCTCCTTCTCATTCGTTTTGAAACATCAATAAAAACCATCAAGTGAACGTGCCGGAGGGAGAGGGGTGCAAAGACGCGTTTACCTATTCGTGTTGGACTGTTGGATACATTTTTTGCGAAAGTCCTGTTAAAACTACTAGCAAAATTGCACGGAACTTTGCGCGAAAGTTAAGTTCTGTAAACATATCTCTGTCGAGTAGACGAGGTCCTCCATTTATAAGAAGTGAACCGAAAAATTATGAAAGAACAAACAGAAATGTGGTTTAATAATTTTAACTTCCGCCGCTGCGCCGGGCTGATCGCACTGTGTTTGGCGCAATGCGTGAAGTATTCTTGCAGCCTTGTAGGCTATATGCGTTTCACGCCAACTGCTCCTGACCGCGCTGTGTTTGACGCAATGGGTGAAGTATTCATGCAGTCTTGTAGGCGCTAGTATGTGTTACATGACGACAGCCGTGCCGAGGGCTTGTCCTTTTCATCTCAAGTCCTCGTCATCATTACTCCATGCGCTGAGCTCCGGGCCTAATGGCGTGTTAAGTTCCTCTCTTAACTCGACTAATTAAAATTGCTGTCTCTTGTACCTATCGCCGAAAAACGACAAAATTATAAATTACTATACTCTCAGGAAAAAGAGATTTTATTTCTTTTTCTTATTGATAATTTTTTTTATACCTACATTTAAAAAAATTGCAAAATTTGCCGCCCCCTAAATTTGCCGCCGTGAGCCGCGGCTCATGTGGCCACCCCCTTAATCAGGCCCTGGTCTAATAGACTGTTTTCAGCTGGGACTGGTGCTGCCGGTTTCAAATCGATCACCTAAGAACAAAAAGGTTGCCTTAGCATCTAGTATATCAAAAAATGTGTCTAGAAAGCCCTGTATGCAAGCCCTGCGGTTAAGTTTAAGTTTCCAGGATGTGAAATAATAACGGCGGAGCCGTCAAGCCAGTATCAAGATCTTACGAAGCACATGTTTAAAATCCGGAACGCTATTTCAGCATTTACGTCATTTTTTTCGATGACTATTTCAAGGCATAGTGGTTTTGGCGGAAATAATGAGAAAAATTGCTAAGATTTTATGAGACTGCATTTCACTGGAAACGATTTTTTTCACCGGCGAAAAATAGAATGAGAACATTTTTCTTGGTTGAATTTTAGTCCAGATTTTAAAAGCATCGACGATGGTGACGTAATTTGGAGATGTTTCATTCTTGCTATTCCAATAAATTGAAGAGACATGGTATTTTTTTTTGTTTTGGGCCGCTTCAAAATTATCAATGTTTAAGAAAAAATAAAATCTATTGAAATATGGCTTAAAATTTGTTGTGGAATATTTGCACGTTGGCGAGGAAAAGTTAAAGAAAATTCCAATAGATAATAACGAATTGTTTTACTTCTTAAAAATTGAACATGACCGGAAAATTTGTAACGTCGCATTTCAAAAAAAATTGTTCGTAGGGTTCGGTCACCGGTACACGGACGTCTAAAAGACGAAGAACGACGTCGAATCACCGCGGCCCTTAAGGACGACGTTCTTGTAACCTGCGTTCATGCCGCGCTTCGCGCAGAGCTAGGGCAAAGAGTTTCAAAACGCCTTCAATTTCGAAATATGCAATTCGGACATCTCTGGAACACGAATAGTCGCATCAAGGCGTCGGCATCGAAAACATACTGCAAGCGTCGGGTAATGTAGGAGGTACCTACAGAATAAAAGGTAAGGTATGGATTAAATTGAAAAATGAAAACGTGAATCGTGAACTCGACACCGATCCGATCGACAAAATGAGATCGATTCACGGGTTTGACGATCGATTAACGGGTTTGTCGATCGCTTCACGGGTTTGTTGATCGATTCACGATTGTCGATCGAATCGGTGGCGATCGATTCACGTTTTCATTTTTCGATCGATTCAATGATTCATGTCCATCGAATCCACACCCTCCTCTCTCAAAAAAAACTGTCGAAATATTCATTTTTAGAAACTCTTTTCGTTAATATTTTTATAAGTAAAGTTTACCTCTTCGTGAGATTTTCGTGAAAAATTCTAAGCAAAATGCAACTACTTTAGGGGTTTCTTTAACATTCTTTCTGATGTTTAAAGAGTTTCTCAACACTTTTCCACTTAAATTTTACCTCTCCTAAATTTTACTTAAAACATACTCAAAGTCGATTTCCTGAAACAAGCACTTTAACCGACTTTTTAGGACTAAAAAAAATTGAATTGAGTAGTTCTTTATAAAGCTGCTGTTAGAGTTTCGATACTTTTTCAAAAGGTATACTGGAAAAAAAAACACATTGGATCTAGGGTCCAGACTCTTGAAAACATTGACAAGAAAAAGGACTCTTGATTCAATCAGATTTAAGGTGATTCGATGGACGCCATATTTTGTGTCAGAACAGCATGCGATATATCGCATCAATTCGTTCCATTTTTTCAGCTACTTGTCATTTTTCTCCACTTTTGAGATCGCAATTCTGTTGTCAGGAGATTAAAGCACTCACTTACCAATTTTAACAAAGAAATTCAACGTAATAAAGGCGTGATTTTTTTAGAGGGAAAACATCGCATTCGATACTGATATCGAAACTGCACTCGAATGCGATATTTTCTCTCTAAAAAACCACGCCTTTATTACGTTGAATTTCTTTGTTAAAATTGGTAAGTGAGTGCTTTAATCTCCTGACAACAGAATTGCGATCTCAAAATTGGAGAAAAATGACGAGTAGCTGAAAAAATGGAATCAATTGATACGATATATCGCATGCCGTTCTGACATAAAATATGGCGTTCATCGAATCACCTTAAGCTTAAATCAAGAGGAAATCCGCTCAAATTAAGAGGCTTGGTTCTTGATTTAAGCTAAAATCTGATTGAACCAAGAGTATTTTTTCTTGTCGATGTTTTTAAGAGTTTGGACTCTAGATCCAATGTGTTTTTTTTCCAGTGTAGGTAGATGTGTACGATATTTTAAAAGACGAGGGGAGAGATTGTATGTACCTGATTCATGGATAATCAAAGCCAATCAAGACAAAATTGCAACATTCAATTGATGCATGAATTATATTCTTGGCTAATGGTCCATTATCTTTTATCTATGGTCCGATAATAATTTTAATAAAATCGCCTCAGCAGAGGGTCCTCTTCTGAACGTCAAAAAATGAACACAGACTACAGGAAACATTGAATTTTATACCTTGTATCTTTTATATGAAAAACAAACAGAGTGCTAGAAAACTTAATAAAGAGAAAAATACTGGCTTAAATCACCATAGAATTAAAATTTAATAAAAATTACAACATAACAACTAACAATGAATGATGAGCAATAATAAGACACTGAGAGAATGATCAACACCATGAGCGCCTATTGGAGCAACGAATTTTCTTATGAGATTAGCTTCGAATGATAAATATGTCAATATATAAATTTTCTCTCAATACAACTAAGACAATATAAACCTCGATGACACAGAACAACAAATGTAAAATGAGGTATCTGAAACCACGATTGAATACGAAGTATAAAGCGGGGGTATTGACTTGATTTACAGCATCAACGAACTACTTGCTAAACAAGAAATCAACCTGTGAAAAATAAAATGAAAATCAATTTTTAGTTTACAGAAAAGGATAAAGTGAAAGTAAAAGAAGAGAACAAACAAATATCAATTTAAGAGGATTCACTCATATTGTAAAATGCAGTCATAACAATGTAATTCATCTCACATGTTTGAAAACATAGATATTATTGAATTATCTACTCGATGAGCGACAGTACAAATATTACCTATACAAGTTGAGATGCAATTATAGTGCCGATCCCGAATCCGGTTGCCCCGAAAAAACACCGGAGTGCTTTCCGACCATAAGCCCTAGAAAGAACGCCCCAAATGAGGACTAAGGCTCAACTTGGATTGGTCCATACGCTGTTTTGTCCGATCTCTCTCTCGCTCTCATTGCTCAGATGCGGCACGTCAAAGGAGCACACTCGGCTTTGAAACGCCGTCCGACTTGTCGTCTATCTCTCTCCCACTCACTGATCAGATGCGACAACCCGCGCCTCGTCAACGGGACACACACACACTCGCAAAAATACAGGCTGGGCCTCGTAATTTGGTCCGCGGTGGTAGTGCCGATCCCAAATCCGGTTGCCCCGGAAAAAAACCGGAGTGCTTTCCGGCCATGAGCCCTGGAAAGAAGGGCCGTAAACGGGGACTAAGGCTCAACTTGAATTGGTCCATTCGCTGTTTTGTCCGTTCTCTCTCTCGCACTCATTGCTCAGATGCGGCAAGTCAAATGAGCACACTCGGCTTTGAAACGCCGCCCCAATTGTCGTCTATCTCTCTCCCACTCATTGATAAGATGCGGCAACCCGCGCCTCGTCAAAGGGACACACACAAACTCGCAAAAATACAGGCTGGACCTCGTAATTTGGTCCGCGGTGGTAGTGCCGATCCCGAATCCGGTTGCCCCGAAAAAATACCGGAATGCTTTCCGACCATGAGCCCTGGAAAGAACGGCCGTAAACGGGGACTAAGGCTCAACTTGGATTGGTCCATTCGCTGTTTTGACTGTTCTCTCTCTCGCACTCATTGCTCCGATGCGGCACGTCAAAGGAGCTCACTCGGCTTTGAAACGCCGCCCCAATTGTCGTCTATCTCTCTCCCACTCATTGATCAGATGCGCAACCCGCGCCTCGTCAAAGGGACACACACACAATCGCAAAAATACAGGCTGGGCCTCGTAATTTGGTCCGCGGTGGTAGTGCCGATCGCAAATCCGGTTGCCCCGAAAAAACACCGGAGTGCTTTCCGGCCATGAGCCCTGGAAAGAACGGCTGCAAACGGGGACTAAGGCTCAACTTGGATTGGTCCATTCGCTGTTTTGACTGTTCTCTCTCTCGCACTCATTGCTCAGATGCAGCACGTCAAAGGAGCACGCTCGGCTTTGAAACGCCGCCCCAATTGTCGTCTATCTCTCTCCCACTCATTGATCAGATGCGACAACCCGCGCCTCGTCAAAGGGACACACACACAATCGCAAAAATACAGGCTAGGCCTCGTAATTTGGTCCGCAGTGGTAGTGCCGATCTCGAATCCGGTTCCCCCAAAAAAACACCGGAGTGCTTTCCGACCATGAGCCCTGGAAAGAACGGCCGTAAACGGGGACTAAGGCTCAACTTGGATTGGTCCATACGCTGTTTTGTCCGTTCTCTCTCTCGCACTCATTGCTCAGATGCGGCACGTCAAAGGAGCACACTCGGCTTTGAAACGCCGCCCCAATTGTCGTCTATCTCTCTCCCACTCATTGATCAGATGCGGCAACCCGCGCCTCGTCAAAGGGACACACACACACTCGCAAAAATACAGGCTGGGCCTCGTAATTTGGTCCGCGGTGGTAGTGCCGATCCCGAATCCGGTTGCCCCGAAAAAACACCGGAGTGCTTTCCGACCATGAGCCCTGGAAAGAACGGCCGTAAACGGGGACTAAGGCTCAACTTGGATTGGTCCATACGCTGTTTTGTCCGTTCTCTCTCTCGCACTCATTGCTCAGATGCGGCACGTCAAAGGAGCACACTCGGCTTTGAAACGCCGCCCCAATTGTCGTCTATCTCTCTCCCACTCATTGATCAGATGCGGCAACCCGCGCCTCGTCAAAGGGACACACACACACTCGCAAAAATACAGGCTGGGCCTCGTAATTTGGTCCGCGGTGGTAGTGCCGATCCCGAATCCGGTTGCCCCGAAAAAACACCGGAGTGCTTTCCGACCATGAGCCCTGGAAAGAACGGCCGTAAACGGGGACTAAGGCTCAACTTGGATTGGTCCATACGCTGTTTTGTCCGTTCTCTCTCTCGCACTCATTGCTCAGATGCGGCACGTCAAAGGAGCACACTCGGCTTTGAAACGCCGCCCCAATTGTCGTCTATCTCTCTCCCACTCATTGATCAGATGCGGCAACCCGCGCCTCGTCAAAGGGACACACACACACTCGCAAAAATACAGGCTGGGCCTCGTAATTTGGTCCGCGGTGGTAGTGCCGATCCCAAATCCGGTTGCCCCGAAAAAACACCGGAGTGCTTTCCGGCCATGAGCCCTGGAAAGAAGGGCCGTAAACGGGGACAAAGGCTCAACTTGAATTGGTCCATTCGCTGTTTTGTCCGTTCTCTCTCTCGCACTCATTGCTCAGATGCGGCACGTCAAAGGAGCACACTCGGCTTTGAAACGCCGCCCCAATTGTCGTCTATCTCTCTCCCACTCATTGATCAGATGCGGCAACCCGCGCCTCGTCAAAGGGACACACACACAATCGCAAAAATACAGGCTGGGCCTCGTAATTTGGTCCGCGGTGGTAGTGCCGATCGCAAATCCGGTTGCCCCGAAAAAACACCGGAGTTCTTTCTGGCCATGAGCCCTGGAAAGAACGGCTGTAAACGGGGACTAAGGCTCAACTTGGATTGGTCCATTCGCTGTTTTGACTGTTCTCCCTCTCGCACTCATTGCTCAGATGCGGCACGTCAAAGGAGCAGACTCGGCTTTGAATTGCCGCCCCAATTGTCGTCTATCTCTCTCCCACTCATTGATCAGATACGGCAACCCGCGCCTCGTCACAGGGACACACACACAATCGCAAAAATACAGGCTGGGCCTCGTAATTTGGTCCGCGGTGGTAGTGCCGATCCCGAATCCGGTTCCCCCAAAAAAACACCGGAGTGCTTTCCGACCATGAGCCCTGGAAAGAACGGCCGTAAAGGGGGACTAAGGCTCAACTTGGATTGGTCCATACGCTGTTTTGTCCGTTCTCTCTCTCGCACTCATTGCGCAGATGCGGCACGTCAAAGGAGCACACTCGGCTTTGAAACGCCGCCCCAATTGTCTTCTATCTCTCTCCCACACATTGATCAGATGCGGCAACCCGCGCCTCGTCAAAGGGACACACACACACTCGCAAAAATACAGGCTGGGCCTCGTACTTTGGTCCGCGGTTATAGTGCCGATCCCGAATCCGGTTCCCCCAAAAAAACACCGGAGTGCTTTCCGACCATGAGCCCTGGAAAGAACGGCCGTAAACGGGGACTAAGGCTCAACTTGGATTGGTCCATACGCTGTTTTGTCCGTTCTCTCTCTCGCACTCATTGCGCAGATGCGGCACGTCAAAGGAGCACACTCGGCTTTGAAACGCCGCCCCAATTGTCTTCTATCTCTCTCCCACACATTGATCAGATGCGGCAACCAGCGCCTCGTCAAAGGGACACACACACAATCTTAAAAATACAGGCTGGGCCTCGTAATTTGGTCCGCGGTGGTAGTGCCGATCCCGAATCCGGTTCCCCCAAAAAAACACCGGAGTGCTTTCCGACCATGAGCCCTAGAAAGAACGGCCCCAAATGAGGACTAAGGCTCAACTTGGATTGGTCCATACGCTGTTTTGTCCGATCTCTCTCTCGCACTCATTGCTCAGATGCAGCACGTCAAANAACGGGGACTAAGGCTCAACTTGGATTGGTCCATTCGCTGTTTTGACTGTTCTCTCTCTCGCACTCATTGCCCAGATGCGGCACGTCAAAGGAGCACACTCGGCTTTGAAACGCCCCAATTGTCGTCTATCTCTCTCCCACTCATTGATCAGATGCGGCAACCCGCGCCCCGTCAAAGGGACACACACACAATCGCAAAAATACAGGCTGAACCTCGTAATTTGGTCCGCGGTGGTAGTGCCGATCCCGAATCCGGTTCCCCCAAAAAAACACCGGAGTGCTTTCCGACCATGAGTCCTGGAAAGAAGGGCCGTAAACGGGGACTAAGGCTCAACTTGGATTGGTCCATTCGCTGTTTTGACTGTTCTCTCTCTCGCACTCATTGCCCAGATGCGGCACGTCAAAGGAGCACACTCGGCTTTGAAACGCCGCCCCAATCGTCGTCTTTCTCTCTCCCACTCATTGATCAGATGCGGCAACCCGCGCCTCGTCAAAGGGACACACACACACTCGCAAAAATACAGGCTGGGCCTCGTAATTTGGTCCGCGGTGGTCCGGGAATGGACAGGGCGATCTATGATTTACTTCAAATGGGGTATGCGCTGACACTTGTAGCTAGTGGATGGTAAATTGCACCAAATATTCTTCAAACATTCAAGTTATAGAATTATCTTCTTATTTTGTCATGTTGATGAAATTAAAGTTATGATCCTTTGATTTTTTGCTACGGACAACAGACCGTTCACAGACTGAACGGGAAAAAATTCCCTGACTTTTCTAGATTTTCCTTCACCAAAATGATCGTAATGGGCCTCTAGACAAGGTATGAATTGAAGTACTGCGCAACAAGTAGTGCCAGCGAACATTATTTCCGGATAAAACTGATGCAACCCAACATTAGCGACTAAAGCCCCAGAAAAAATGATTAAGTTGTACTAACATACTATCGTATAACAGTCCTTTAGGACGTCATGTCCATTTTTAAGAGGATATTGCGAAGCAACTTAACTTATGTTCCTTGGTTTCTAAGTGGCATTATTATGATCTTATGTTTTTATTTAAACTTCTTAATAATTTTATTGATTCTCTATTCTTCTTAGTTCCATACATATAAATCCTCCTAGATCTCTACGCAATTTAAATCGTTTATTTGTTATCCCTTCATCTCTTGTTACCTGTAAGCATAGGTCTGTAATTCCTAGGATTTCAGATTTTGCAAATAATTGTACTGAGTGGACTCAATTTTTTGGCCTAAGTATTTCTAATTTGAAGTCATTAGTGGAAGAACACAGGTTCGTGTTAGTTTTTAAACATATTCTTTTTAGGCCATTTTGTTGCATGTATTGTTGCCTTCGTTATTATTTTCTGTGTGATTGGGACTTGTCCTGTCGAAATTTAAAATAAAATAAAATAAAATAAAATGAAAATCGATGGTTAAAGTCGAAAAATGCTTTTAGTGTAAATCTCCGCTCATGTTTTACTTTTTGGAGGAAAATTAACCAGCAGTTTCTGATGAGTTTTCTATGCGTTTTCCTCACTCATTCCCAAAATAATCTCACAGAATTGCAAAAAAACATTTTTAATAAGCTTTCTACCAAGAGAATAAAACATAATCAGAGATCAGAGGGCATTGCGATTGAGATGGGACACTTTTTTTTTTTTTTTGCTATAGATATACACTCTCTTTCATAAAACATCTTTGCAAAATCAATTAAAAGTGTACAGAATTCTAGTTTGATAGTCGATGCAGGTCAGCAGAAAATAATGAGATCAGTCCAAATGTCAAATTCCTTGGTTCTAACTCAAAAGTAGAGATGTCACTGTATTAACACCGTGAATGCCACTATTTCCCATTGTCATAAGTCCATATCAATACCACTATAGAGCATAGAGACTTAGCACGTTCTTAGATCACATTTTTGCTGATTTACAGCATTCAACCGACAAAAAATAATTCAGTATCAAATGTTACAGACCTATTGATTGCAATTTAACTTAACCTACTGTTATTTAGAGGATCTATAAACAAAAACGTACTTTTCTGATCGAGTCCAGAAAATGTTTGCATTTTTTTAGAATGAAAGATTTCATACCAACTTGAGGCTCCTTTGACCTGTCTGAAGTCTTCAAGGTAGAGATTTTACTGAGCTGCTGCTTTTCTTGGGCGTTTTGTCTGTTTAAAAGAAGAAAGAATATTTGTGATTAAAAAATACTGACAAATTTTGATATAAAAAAGACATTGAAAGTCTGATGATAGGAAGAGGAAACATACACACTCTTCACGAGAGCCAGTTTACAATGGGAAGGGTCAAAATGGCCCGACGCGAAAGGATCCTCTATTTTATCGTTGATTAGAATTCTCCACAAAGGAAGGTGATTTTCATCAATTTAAGGAACTGTAGGGTCGTTTAAGCATTTAGACTCTCTCCTCCATGTCAGATTTTTTATCAAGCGATGCGAAAATTTAATAATCTAACGCTAGAGAAAAATGAAACTGGTATACTGAGTATTTACTGAAATGGTATCAAAAGAAACATCTACTTTTAAATCGACTGCTATATTTTGATGGTTTTTTGTATATTTTAATTTTTAGGAAAAAACTAGAACTCTTCGCAAAAGCATTTTAGAAGCTACATTAACTGCTACACAGAATAAAGAGAGAATATTTTAGAAATAGTCAGATGTATGATTTATTTTGATGGAATATGAAACAGGAATCTTTTTACGGAGAATTAAAACCGCAGGAGCCTACGCGTTTTTATGACATTTTGTTAGCTGGTGAAAAATTAATAAAAATACTCAAATGATCGAAACGCTTTAGAAATTATCAGTTTTTAAAAAATATTTAATGTAATGAATATTCCTTTAAGTAGCAGCAAATTCATTTGATCTAATTTTTATACCCAAAAATTTTTTACATCTACCTGACAGAGAGAAATTAGTGGTAAACGCAGCTTATTTGGTTATTTTTCTAAGAAAAAAACATAATGTTCAAGCAAAACTTTAATTCACATGCAAAAACATGCAAGCATATTTGAGGGCCTTGGACGATAAGGCGCATAAGAGCAGTTTTTGAAAAATTTGAGATGTTCATAATGTCATGTAAAACTATAGTCTCAATGCAAATCCTGTGAAAAAATCGCTCCCAAATTTTAATATGTACCTAACCATCAAAAAATCAGTTTGAACTTTCTTTCTGCCATAAGGTTTCATTTAATTTCGAGACTTTAAACACACATTCTTCGAAATAGCAAAAATTTAACTTATGCACCTTGTCCTTTAAGCCCCTCATTTAATCAATGAAATTCTGAACAAATAATGTGAAATGTCTTGCACGTTAGTGCCATTTCAAACCAATTCTTTATTGTTTCCTTACTCAAGGAAATTTTTTCATTTTTTGGAATTTGAGAGAATAAACTAAGCGTTTGCCTCAAGAAAACTTAGGGGCAAAAGCATCAGATTTTAATTTATCTAATCGAAGTCAGTACTTATTTAAGAGGCATGCATTGAAATTTTTATATGCTTCCAATTCGACGAGACACCAGACATTTTTTGAAAGATCCAAGATAAAATAAAAATTAAAAAAAGAAAGAAAAAAAGAGGAAAAGACGCAGCAGTTTCAGATCTAAAGTAACATGCTTAATAGAAAATGTCATTGTTTTAACACTGCGCTTGGAATGGAAAATTGTCTATGTGCTGACTACAAGCAGTAAAACTGATGTGAATTTTCTCTTATTCAAAATAACAGATGTGAAGTGTAACTAAGGCAGCACTACATAAAATGAAATCTAAAAGCACAGGCCCATAGAAATGAATGCAAAATTCAAAGCAATATTGTTTTGTGAATACCTAATTATGACATAAAGTAGGGATGCAAATTTAGAAAAATTTGAATTATTTTGTTCAGATTCCGTTCTTTCATATTTACTGAATTTTCAAAGAAAATTTTAGTTTGACACCTCGCATCTTTTAAGAAGTTATGATCAAATGTAAGAATGAAATATACCTATTTATAGTTTATTACTAAGGATCAGTTTAAGCAGGTTGCATTATAGTTTTTTTCAGGCAACATTGTTAAATTTAACAAAATTATGATGCAACTATCTTTTTAGCTGACAAATATTTAACTTTTCTTTTTCTCATATTTTGAGAACTGATCAAAAAGTTCTTAAATAGATTCCTTCCGATTAATCGGTAGCAGCACGCAACAGAGAATGCCATTTTCTTCGTCACTCACTGCAAATTAAAATAGAGTTTCATGATTGAAATTATTTCAAATCAAAAGAGACTGCTAGAGCTGACAGATAAACAAATTAAGTTAAATAGTGAACAATGAAATTTAATCCTCAATCTTGATAAAACTACTTATGTCGTATGAATAAAAGATAGAGTCTTATAGATGGGAAAAAAAAGAAAGTGACGCCTACAACCAAGATCTAACAGGTAACAGTTCCGACAATAATATCATTCAAACAATAGACAATCAACTAAACTTATTAAAATAAAAACAGCCTACCTACATGTTGCGTTGTCTGACTTCCTCTGATGTTTCATTTTTTTTTTTATTAAAACACTATGAACAACAAGATACCTTGAAATTTTCTCTGAATTTATACTAGATTAGGAGGAATGTGCTCAAACAGAATATTGTTTGGTTTTTTGGTAAAAAATGAAACATGAGGATAAATAAGACAATGTCTAATGTAGTTACGCTGCTTCTGGTTGAATCTTTCTGACAAATATGACTAGTAGTTAATAGATGCTTACATTCTTAGAATTTACTTACCATGGGCAAAGGCGATAACAAAAATAAAAATGCAAAATATGTTCGTTTATGGTAACATTTGGTGCAAGTGAAATTTTTCAAATTGAGATTTTCAGAAATTGTGTAAGTACACTCTAAAGCGCATGAATATTTACGAGCTTTTTTTAAAAAAAAAGAAAAAAATTGAACGATGTTAAGTTCTTAAATCAGTGGGCTTGTCACTTTCAAATTGAATCCTCATTTCAATTCTGTAGTATTGGTCAATCAACAATGCTAATTGCAGCGTAAATTAAATCAATGAAATCAAACATTTGTCTAATAATTGCACATTCTGTTCATGTCCCGATGAAACTTGTAGCAAGGAAAGTTAGTTATTTCCTACATCATTTCTAATTGTATTAATACCAATCACCTAAAGTAGTGATGTAAAATAGCAGGTATCGCATGTGTCGCTTCAGCTAATTGAAACTGTTTACAATTTGCAAAGTCTTCAAAATCCTCATTTGCCTCATGAAGTAAAAAAAAATTGATAATTGCCTCATTTGCAATCCTAAAGACTGCAGGAAGCTGATGGGCAGTATTCAGAATTTTCGAAAGACAAGTATGTACCTATTTATTTATTTATTTTTTATTTTTTTTATTTTTTTTTTAGCAAACGTGCTGAGATGATCTTTTTAGGAGCACAAAATTAGCAAAATTTTTGAGGATAAACTGGGTTGACCTTTGTGCAAGAAATAAAAATGAAAGTCTGATATGGGTTTCTGAAATATCTCACGATGGAAATCTCAAAAAAAGACTGAAGTCCAAAATAACTACTCAAATTACATTATGAAAAACCAGTGAAGAATCTACCCATCTTGCATTGATTACACTAATTGAACTGCATTTTACAATTAAGAACTACAATATCTAGCTCACCCGTAAAAACACTTATGTGCATAGGGAAACAAATGATAAATACGTTGTTTCTAAACTGAGCCAGAGATTGCAGTTCCAAATTGCAAAATGCTGTTAAATTCCTACCGATCATGAAAACTGGGAGTTTGAGCGGGGAATTCGACTATGGGTGAAAGGAATAGCTTGTTTGAGACAACTTATTTAATAGGTACACAACTTGTCAATTTGTTTCGGCACTACTTTTCAAGATTGAAAAAATCATGGCTATGTGAGAGTTCAAAAGCAGCTATATAAGATAAATCAGAAAGTAAAGAAAACCGTGGTTTCAATTAAAGGTGTAATTGGAAAAAAAAAGTTTACAATTTTTTTAACATACTACAGTCATAATTATCACAGCTACAATTTGTGGAAGGGAGTCACTTCATCATTTAAAAAGAAAGTTAGGTGACCCGGTGTCAATCTAGTACGATGATTAAATGGCACAACTAGAATCTTATTCTCAATAAGAGACAAGCTATTGTGTTGACAGAAAGCATAAGCGTTGACTGATGTCTTAAACATTTTCAAAGATTAATAGGAGAGCCTGTTTTGTTAAAAATTTAAAATATAGTAACGCTAGGTACTGGCTGGTTATTTATTGAAACAATAAATAGGCCCTTCCATGTAAATAGATTTAACTATGGCAGTTTCTTCCTGATATCGACATAACAGGGAACAATATAAAGCTGAGATTACATTTTAGACGTTGAGTCCCATATAAAAATCCTACCCAGATAAAAGACCATTGGAATGGTGTCAAAAGTAGGCAAAAGAAATCTAGCTCATGTTTCTCACAGGTAAGTCAAACACAAAAGCACGCATCTCTCATCGAAGATAGATTCACTCAAGACTCAAACAAATAAATAGGTAAGATCACAGGAATACAAAAATTACAAACTACTGATCAGGAAGAATAAACATAAACGATATTTTCTAGACTGATTTTAAGACACCTGGTAAAAGAGATTATCAACGATACAGCATCTTAGATGTCACAATTGTAGTGTCCAAGGGATCAAGTGACTTGAACAGAAAAAATCTGTTTCATGGACGATTGATGCAACCAACACTAAAAGGGTCCAACGCAACACTAGCTAATAAATGAAGCATCATTTGCAAAAAAGGCCCTTAGGCTCTAAGAAAAATAGAGTTTCCTACATCGAGAGAGCTCATAATTATCCTTGACTCAATTTTTTGAAAACGTCACTTGGTTCCCTATTGCTAAACGAAATTTAATTTGTTGTATAGGTACAGATCAAAAGTCATAACTTATTGTAGCACCTACAGCCGGCAGTGCGGGATTGGTTAATCGCTTGGCGACGGCTGTCCCATCTAAGATGCAGTATTAGAAGGGGAAAAATCATTGACAGTCACTAGGATTACACATGATAAATGGCAAGTCAATTGGCATTTCTATGATTATGAGTGAGATGTGGTGCGTGAATCAGCAAAAGCTATATGAATATGTGATGAACAGTCTACTTCCACAATTAACTTGGAAAGGGCAACTTTCTTAAAAGTTCTAAGCATTTGACTTGTTTCCCAATTTTAATATACCGTAATATCACATGAGTTCTTTCCCACCTCGAAATAGGTTGTGCAAACAGGCAGAACCTTACTGACAAATATAACATTGTAGTAACGTTTGTACAAAAAATTTACTGATTGTATAAAGCATACCTATTTCCCTTATTTTCAAATTCTATTGCAATACAATTTTTTTGTCATTAACTCGGATAGGATACACATTTGGGGCCAGCTTTGAATTGTGTTAAATTTCATGAAATTTCTTCATTAGTTTTTGCAAACAGAGCACAAACCCTACCTAGGATAAGCGACATCAAGCATGGTAAATGTGTGGTACTGTGCGGACAATACTCCCCTTATACTTGAATGTATCGATTTTGTGAAACGCATAAAATCATACACTGATGGTATTATTGTTGCCAAAAAAAATACATGGAACATGTTAGAGAATAAAAAATCCTATGAGCTTTTGACTTACTCTTTCGATCTTGAAAGTAAATACACTGGAATATTGGAATCTGTAGAAAGACAGGGAATACCTGATTTTAAAAACCCTGATTAAAAGATAATTTAGAACAAGGAGCAAACTTATTTTGATTTGAAACATTCCAAATTCCTCATCACACTTTATTGACAAAACAGCATATTCATGAACATTCTTTTTTTCTCCGACCAAAATTTTTGGTGAAAATACTATTTTCAAAGTGACAGTCAATTTTCTTTTCCAATTGATAAAGCTGAAAAAGAGCTTTTAAGACATCTGGAAGGAGATTTTTAGATTCTTGAAATTTCCACAGAATATTTTTCACATTGAGAAGAAAAATCACTGAAGTTTCCAAGAAATGACGTTTAATAGTTTTCAATGTAGAAAATAAAGTATAAAAAGAAGTTGGTTACATTGCAAACCAGATACGCATTTTTGCTGTTTCACCATCGATATACTACATGTGATCTATGCATAAAATCTTTAAAAAAAATTGAGTCAAATTTTGTTGCTGCTTTTGTTGGTTGTGGGTAGCTTAAGCTATCTGTAAAAATGTTCGCATACCTCATTAAATGGCTGACCTATTAATACTAAAGCTATGCTCACACAATCTACAAGTGGCTGGGGCTGCCAAACTTTTAGCCTGCCGCTGCCACTGGCAATAAGTTAAGTTGGTAAGCTTTGAGGGGAAATTTATGAGGTGCAATTATACAAATGGGTATGTATTCTCTTTAACTGAAAGCTGAATCATGGTTTAGAAATTGGAATGTGTTATAGGAAGAGAAAGCTATGTGTGATCATTAATTGTGCATCCAAAAGTACTTGTTTGCAGAGGATAAATGGAAAAATTATGGTTTTTAGATTACTTGTTCACATACAATGTAACTACCTCCTGTTACATAGTTCTGCAAAAAACAAAATTTCACTATCATGAGAGAATATAAAGTGCACTTAGTCATTGCTTTGCGATTACTATGAAATAAAACCTATGGAACTGTTTAATTCCATGCAGAACTACTTAATTGACTAATTTTTTCATGGCTAAATTCGCAATACACGTTTCTCCGATTACCACACTGCGAGTTTCCACTAAGTTTTTATTTTCTAAAAGGTAACTTACAATTTTCCTTGAAATTTTCTTCTTTCCTTCAAAAATATTCACAGAATATATCAAAAAGATGGTTTGATTAGTTCCCTTTCACTAAAAAAACCTTAGATGGGATAGTTTTAAACACTGCAATGGAGAAACACATTTTCCGGTTTTAGACATCGTTTTTTTTATTCAATATTAAAGCCTGTTATGAGTGCAGGAGGCTGATTTGCGATTTAATGAAAGTGACAGTGAGTTGCTGAAAAATTATGAAAAGCTGCAAAAGCAGTTACAACATGGTTTTGTTGAAAAAGTGCATTGCAATTACCTAGGTATGTGATAAGATTAGTAAGATTTTACTAAAATTTAAAATGACAGGATAGTTTAAGGATAAAGTTACTTCTTAAAATTTTCAATTTTCATCCTCAAAAAGAAGATGCATAGTTGAATGCATACATTTCATAAAAAGCGTTTCAATGAACAGGCCCTGAGAGATACCACGACTTCATGCATCCGAGGGCAAAAATCAAAACCTTCCCCGATGTACCAAACTACCGATTAAAATATTATAAAAGTACATGACATACGTACATTTTCAGTTTTTAGAGGGATAAATATTTAGAATAAAATTTTAGATTATGGTAGGTCAAAGTATTTTATACACTCTTTTCTCATTTTTTTCGTGGTAACTGGAATTTATTTAAGTAGTTGAGCGAGGAAGAGAATGGAAAACTGAATCATTACGTTACAAACAAGTTAAAGAAAAAAAGTACGATTAGTAGTTCAAACAATTCAACTAGCGAACTTAGGCATTAAGGATTCTAACAGTTATGGAAGAGACAAGAAAACATTTGACACACTCTTGAGGCTCAGAATAATTTTTTGGAAGTCTCGAAAAATAGTAAGGAGGCAAAAAACAATCGACAAAGGAATTACCAGAGAATTTTTCAAAATCCCCCAATCGAATATTACTGGAAGAACTTAAGGGTACACCGATAAAAATGTTACTTACACCCTTAGAATTTTTTGCAGCTAGAAAAACCAAAATTAGGTATTTAGAAAAAGCCCATTATCATATCTTTTATCGATTTGAAAAGTATCACAATGAATTATACACGATAACTATACTTGAGACAGAAGATGTCAAACTGAAAAGAGAAAGGCAAAGAAGGCATTCTCTACATTCAGACCATTCTGAAGGTTGAACAATCAAAGATTCAAAGATATGAGAGGCTCCCAGATGCACTGAAAAAAAACCTGCTAAAATCAACACATGAAATAGTGAAAAAAGGTGACAACTCATTAAAATAGATTAAGAACACCGGGTTGATTTAACTAATTTGGTGATTTGTCACCGTATTTTAGCAATTTTTTTTTTCAGTGTGAACGTGGCTTTCCGAAAAATATGTTTGAAATCAAAAGTTTTGCACTGCATTTTAAAGTCAGCTCACATTTTAAATCTTTCGGCACCAGACTACCAAAATTCCTATGAGCATTGTTGCTAGTGCTCTCGTATTAAATTATTCTTCACTAGCCGTAGAAAACGCTCAAATCAAAAGCACAGGGATTAGACGGTTGTTTCTTTATCACTGATGACTTCAATGGTGCCATTATCACGAATCTCAATCTTGACTTTTGGTTCGGATTCCTCAATCTCGTTGGAGACGGGACTTACCTTTTTCGGCCTTCGGTTTGTTTTGGGTTTTTTGGTGCGTTGCTCCGGTTCAGCATGATCTGGCTCGGTAATAATCATTTTTGGAATAGAAGCACTTGAGTTTAAGGCAGAGAGCATGATTTCAGAGCTATCCGATTTAGAAATCACAGATTCGTACTTACTGCATGGGTCCACGCGCGCGTGAGCAAAACAGAAAAACATTGAAATTACTAACTATGTAGTTCCAAAACGATTTTTGCCCCAGTGCAAGTGTGTATCACATCTTATCTTCTGAACCTACGATTCATAACCTAAATTAATGTACAATGATTTTTATTTTTAAACCTAATTTTAGGCAGATATTTGAATCTTTAAAAGTTTAGGTCCTGAATGGATCAGTTGTGCAGGCCACAAAATCGTACAATTACAATTGAATCTTATGGATGGGGAAAAAATGATTAGATCCATCCTAATTCTGAGTTTTAATTCACTGTGTTTCATGCCTAACAAATAAAATTGCAATTCAGTTAAATTCCTTCGAGATAATTCTTCTGATCTACAAGACCCAATCATTGAAAGAAAACCCTGCTTCATGCAGAATTCTCTCATCCTTTTGAAGACTGAAGTAGAATTTAAATGCAAAGTTGCAGCAATTAAGGATTAAATTATGCAACTCAACAACGAAAACTTTACTGAGTCTGAAACTGATAAAATTTGAAGTTCATTTAATTACTTCAAGATTTTCTATGGTAGCTTGAGGAACTAAACCAATGATCAAATCGCTGTTTTTTCTCTCTCTTCTTAAAGGGTAAAAATGTATCTATTGAAAATACAAAATGAATTTTAGGTTGAGTGTGTTGAATTCTGATGATATTATTTTGAAAATCATTTTGGAATATCACACAAAAAGTACCTATTGTACTTCAATTTAAACACGTACCTACAAATTATTGCACAGCAAAGCTCTTATAAATCTATTCTATACAGAATCCAAGTAGCACTAGAGGACACTTATAATGCAATGACAATTAAGACATTAAAATAAAGGGATGAAAGGAATTGAATTAAACTACTGCATAGGCTAAGGGATCAGTGGAAATTCAAGTTTCTTGTTAATTCATGAAATGGACCACTAGACAAGGTGTGAATTAAAGCAATACGATATATGTTCCATCATCAAAATTTGATGTTGAACACAATTTGTGCTCAAAAATTCATTCATAAACTGCACCGTTATTGCAATTTTTGTAGCTTTCTGTTGTAATATCATATCAAACTCTTTTCGTATCTTCCAATTGCAAATAGGCCGATTCTGCTTTAACTATTTTAAATTGTAGTTTAAAATCTGATGACAGATAATCAATCTAAAATTGACTGACCTTGATAAGTTTCTTTTATTAAAAAATATTATCTTTGCAAAAATTGAATAAGGATTAACGAGCAAGCATTTATAAGTGAGGGTAGGATCTGCCCACAAAATTAAAACAGGAAATACCACCTAACCTATTCTGCCGTGCTAAGGAAAAACACAGTATCAACATTCGAAAGTTGCCAAATTTCCCCCAATAAGTCATGTTTCTTTCTGGGGAAAGTTATGCGTTTTTTTGCTTGACATTTCCAGATATTTTAGATCAAATTGCAAACAAAATTGTCCGAGAAATTTGAAAAAAAATGAAAAATTCTTCAAGAAAAATTAGGTTTCATTGAGGGAAATATGGCAACGTCTGAAGGCTCATACGGCGTGCTTTCTCAGCCCAGCAGTATTCTCACGTTGCATGCATCACAGAAACATGCATCCCTTATTGACACCATTTTAAAAAAAGTCACTTACAAAAGTTACTTATGTCACACATTTACAACCCCATTAGATTCTATGTACACATAAAATTGAGACTGAAGGATTAAAGAAAATTAATTTTCGAAAGGGATTCTTATTTCTTTGATGTAATCCTCTTAATCATAAGAATAATTAAAATAGACGTCACAACAACTTTGGACACACTTTCTCAGAGACAGGTCAGGAATCTGTAGCAGTGATTAAAAAGTATTCACCTCACATACAACAAATTATTTCCCCGACGACATTTGCTTTCTCTTTCTTTTTCTACTCATATTTTTTTGGTAAAGGTGGAAGAACACACCTCTCAGATTGAAAAGTCAAAAATTAATCACCATATTTTAATGTTAGTGAGAAAGACCAATTCCTTAGCTTTTAGCCAAAATATCACAAGCGCCATTTACGCTTCCACACTAGGTGACCGAACAATTCAATATCATTTTGATTTTCACCTAAAACTTTAGCGCATACTTTCATGAAAATTTCAGGGAGTAATCTAGATGATAAAAAAATAATTAGGTAAGATTTTTAAGGGATTCTGTTTATTAGTTTCTCCATAAAAATTAGAAAAAAATTTAAAAGTTTGGCGAAGTAGATCTCACGCATTTGTGATTCTTTGCCTGAAAGAAGACAAACTATCAATAGTTAATTATTAAGTTTTTCTCTGTCTAAAGAGGAACACTTTGTGAAAGAAAATCGATCACAAAAGTTGAGAGATCTTTAGTGGGGAAACTAACAAGCAATAATGTCAAAAAATTGCAATCCCGAGACATGTTTTTAAAGTTAAGAAAAATAAATAAATTTATTTAAGCTAATGTTAATTTTGTTGCCCGATTTGGGCTGCGTGACATTATTTGGAGAAAAATATTCATACTCTCAAAATAAATTTAATGGAGCAGAAAAAAGGGAAAATAGAGGAATTAGATGAAATAAGAATTAAAGTACTTACGCAGTTGAAGAGTAAAGACCATGACTTCTAATGTACTGCTCAACAGCTTCATTGATCAGATATTTCACACTATCGCCTCTCCGAAAAGCACGCCTAATTTTAGTTGAGCTAATGTCATTTGTGATCCATTCTGTGACTATGGTTATATTGTTCTGAATTAAAAAGGAAGTAACATATTTTAATGAAGAGAAATACAAAAAATAAATTAAAATGCTAATTTTTTTTTAAAAAAAAAAACTGAGGTCTCAGAGCTGATTGTTAAGTATGCTTCAATTGATTAGGGGTCAGTGGCGTCCATTTACTAAAAATTAATTTTTTGAAAGTACGGTGTGAACTAAGCTTCTAGAAATTTGTTCAATTTTTTTTAATCTTAAATGGCGAAGAAATTCCATTTAAAAAAAATTAAAAATTGGAACCGTTTGAAACAATATTTTTTTTTTTGGGGGGGGGGGGGGGGCTTTGATGACAGTCAGCAGCCTGATCGTTGAAATTTTTTGTTTGTCAGGACGACATAGATGACATAGGTTAAAAGGCGGAGCGTGATTGGTCGGCTATGTATTATCGCTGCTTTGTCATGCCTTTGTCAGATGAAATGGACGACATACTGTCGGAAACTTCAAAGATGCCGATAGTTTGTCGTGAGCTCAACCCGACATAGGCACGACAAGGCAGCGATAAGACATAGCCGACCAATCACGCTCCGCCTTTTAACCTATGTCATCTATGTTGTCCTGACAAACAAAAAATTTCAACAATCAGGCTGCTGGTGGGAGGAACAGTGTTTGCTGATTGGCCCAAATCAGTTTAGGGCATCGCTTTGCTATGTCAACTTGACTGTCAGTTTGAGATTGGTCGCATTTTGATGAGCTTTCTCTCAAGTTTCTGGCTTTTAAATTTCTCTCTTGACCGTTATAATTTTTCCAAAGTTTGGGTTGTATTCTTTGGCACTGTCTCCCATACTTTACTATTCACATCATTCAAACATCTGCATAAAATTCTGCATCTAATTCCCAAATATGTAAGACTGTATTACATAAATTGATGGCTTACAGAAAATGAGATACTATTTTAAAAAAGTTTTACCATGTACTTCGTCAGCATATCGGACTCATAAATGAATTTGCAGGCATCTGAACCTGCCCTGGTAATGACAACGATTCCGTGGTCACCAACGACACATTTGATCTAGAACAATAAAAAAAAGTCAGGCGAGATATTATAAATGTCTAGCATGAAAAATCTAGTAAAATGAACCAATAGACATTGTGAAAAAAACAAAGTGACAACATATGTTTTTCGGTGGAATTTGGCTTAAAATACACCAAATGGATTGAATACAATCAAAAAGAACTTGAGAGAAAAACGATGGAAAATAGCATTTGAAAAAGTGAGTTCGAAAACACACCAACTTGGGTTTTTTTCGATTCTCACTTTTTTACGGTTTAGTAACACTTATGGATAGAAGTATCTGCACGCAAAGGGAAATTCCAAAATTGCAATCGGAAGTGCTTGAAACAGCTACGGGAAAAGGGAAAAATCGAAATATTTTATTGGAAATACCAATTTTTGGCCATTTCAAGGGAAACGGGTGACCATCCGGTTTTGCAGTTTTCTTTTTTTGGTTCAGTATACCTTGTACCAAGAAGTTATATAAATATTCAAGCATTTTTCAGGTCGAAAAATATACATTTTTTCGGGCAGACTCTTAAAAATCAGTATCTGAAAGTCGGTGAGAACAAAAATACACCGACTCGGAAATTTTTAAACGCTTAATTCTCTGTCATCAAACATGGTGTATCGATTTCAATTGGTGCTTTACAAAGTCTCTAAGTACTTGTCCTTTGGCACCAAAAAGGTTTTTCTCAAACTAACTTCTTTGCCCGCTGCACAGTTTTAGGTGTTTCCTGAACAATTTTTTTTTCTGAGTTGGTGTGTTTTCGAACTCACTGATTCATTTATGGTTTACATTGCTTCATCAGAATCAGTCAATTAGTGGGCAGTTCTGGCCGTAGAAAAAAAATGATATGTTTAGATAGGACTTATAAAAAAATTATTCATTAGGGAAATTACATAGATACGTACGTATATCTTTGCTGGCATATGACTTCAAACTAGAGAGCAACTGGCCATCCTACTTGAAATTGTAGGGCTCATTCACAAAACTCTTTATTTCAGATTTTTCAACTGCTTTTTATACTTTAAAATCTTGTTAATTAAAAACACCCTTTGATTAAAAACAAATCTTAGGTCCCTTTAGTTTCGAATTAGCAAGGGCACACTGTATAGTGAATCGATGATTATCTGTTTTTTATATTACTAATTCATTTACTGAAATAAATATACTAACATCCTCATCGCGCCAGAGTCCAGGTGTGCCAAAGGATTCCAATAGGTCACCACCACAGAGAAGCTTAACTTGAATTGGCATATTAACAGAATCAACTTCATCCGTGCCCAGGTTCGGTAACCAAGGTAAGTTCTTTTCCTGTCTGGCTCGTTTATTGTTCGATTCGCCTCCACTTGACTGCATGGCATCATTGATTTGATTCTGAAAAATTGATAAAAATAAATTAACTTAAGTTTGAGAGCTTCAATGTAATGATGTTGTTTTTTTCAACCTGATACACAGCTGATGCAAGACCCTTTTCATTGAAAAACTAATCCTAAAAAATGTTCATATTGTGTCCTAGCTTGAGAAAACCAAAGAATAATTAATGGTATAGGTGTCATCAGCTAAGTTGGCACTTGTTTACATTCCGTTTGCAAATGAACGCAATATAGTTGTCCAGTAGAAATCAAGGATTGACCACACTCATGATCAAGTCATAGTCAATCCTCAATTGCTATTGGAGGATGCATCATGATCGTTTGCGAGAGGAATGTAAACATGTGCAAACTTGACTGATACCGCCTCTAATGTTGCAAGGCTTACCAGCAAGGCGCCACCAAGGCACAGGCAATTTGTCTCTGCAGAATCGAGCAAGCTGTCTGATGAGACAACTGTAGGTCTTATTAAGAACTGTAGCAAGTGTCCTGAATAGCCCATTACTACCATGGATTGATCTTGGGACCTCAAAGCTGGCAGCAAACTGCCTTAACCACAATACCAATGATAATGAGGCATTTTCATAGTAAGTAAAGAAGAAACTAGAAATTAAAGTGGATCGGCGCATTGTTGTTGAAACAAACATGAATCTATGTTTAGCAATGAATTAGCACCACTCAACAGGATCATACCTACATGCAGTCAGATAGCACCACTGATGCATGGTGATATGAACAATACTTTGTACAATACAAAATACAATACGCAAGCTCTATATAAAATTCTGCAGGGCACCTGATGATATCGGAGGACTTCAAGAGTCCGAGTCCAGCCTGGCTGATTGCATTCCCAGTCTGATAAATGTATCCAATTGGAAGTTTCTAAACCTAGCTGAAGCATTTTGACCCTGTGCGTTGATGCAACAAGTTCTTTCTTTCCGTACTTGTCATGAACAGGAGATATGACACCTCCCACTACAATATGATTGCCCAGTCTGTGTAGATGATCTCTTGCAACCTCTGAAAAAAGGAAATTATGAGTATAAGGGGTTGACATTACACATAGAAAATGTAATTCACCTCCGATACGATGGGTCAACACACTGCTGTTATTCAATAAAGCTGCAACACAGGGTCGTTTCATTGAGCAAGATAAAAAATTCAAAGGAACCACTTCTGGAGAAACTACTTTGCACTTTCATAGCATTTCTTCGGAAGACAAGAATAAACGATGACAGGTAAAACTAAGTATCACTTTTCAGTTTCGGATGTATGGCATTACAGAAAATGTAAAGTAATAATTTCTGTTCTGAATCCATTTTTAAAACTGATAAAAATAATTATAATCCCTACCCATCGTGATAACTTAAACTACTTACTTACTAATTGATTCACAATTTCAAGATGAGGTGAGAAGTACAGAATTCTGTTGATCTGCAGTTTATACTAAAAATTCAAGATTATTCGAAGATTTTAAGGAAGAATCTAAATAAAACAGAGAAGCTTCCAAGGATCTTATTCTGGATGACTAGAAATTAATGAGAAGGTACAGAAACAACTTTCGGTACTCTTTCCGACAAGAAGAAAGTTGTGCAATTTTCGCAACATGCAAGGCACACGATGAGCCACTGCCTCTCTGGGACGCTCAAAGCAAATGATACTTAAAACTGATCAAGAAATAGAGAGAACATACACAGAATATAGGCAGGCTTGCAAAAAGTCTGAAAAGAATATGCTGAATCATGAGCGTCAAGGTATGAAAAGACTGTAATCTACCTATTGGGCGAAGGATCGCAAAGAAATTTGACTTTGCAGGTATCATGCACTCTCAAAGGTGACCATAAGATAAAAGGATAAGCAACTAAAGAAGTAAAAGAGAAAATAAACGAACCAAACATTCTAAAATGCAGATTTGTGGGTGGGTTGTAAGAGCCACATGCTAGAAGGACCACTTTAGCTGGCGGCATTTTGAGTTAATTTGGACGATTGGATCTATAAAACACACAAACGTAGACTAGACAGGGAAGTAGGAAGTTCCATCGTCAATTTTTAAGGGAAATTGATAAAATTATGACTCATTAATAGCATCGTAACATAAAAATTGATGAACACTTCAGCAATTGCTCAAAAAATTGATTAGCCAGTTCTGATAAAAATGTAAACAAACACAGGGTCACCTACCCCCGAACCGCACCGATCACCGAAAGAGGAACCATTTCGGTTTTCGGTGCATCCAATCTAATCCAATTCCAAATCCAATCCAATCCAATCCAGTTTTGTAGTCTGTGATGGTTTTCATCTGGCTGTTACGGGATTTGTTTGCGAGAATTTCACCCGTGATTTTGTGATCATTGTTGTATTATTTATCATGGTAACATCGTAATATTGTGAACTGGATATCCAGGTTTGTGCCTCATTCATTCACTATCATGTTAGTGCCTCTGTTTTGTCCTCTTGCCGTCCCAAGTGCGTCAATTTTTGATGTGTCAAAGTATGCCCTGAGCTTCGACCGTTGATAAGTCAATTTTTTCTGCTTCTCACTCGGAAATCAATGAAATTACCCTCGTAGCCTTCGTCAGACCTTATTATCGCTTGCCAGCCTTGCCTACACAAGGAAATTTTTCTTCATCGTGTAACAATTCATAATTTCGAATTGTATGTGCTCTCTGTTGTCAAATTGAAAGTGCCATAGTTTATGACAGCTTCAAGGTTAAGTCTTTTGGCATTCTAAATATTAGTGTCCTAATTCCTCCATTTCCCATGTTTTATCGAATCTTTATGTTGTTAATCTGTCGAAAGAAGTTTTGCTTTGCCCTGGAATCCACACAAACCAATTTTTTCCCAGCTATCTTTTCAATTCTAAATAATCTCTACTTCCTGTAGCGGGTACTCTACTCGAGTTAGTCTCCTTTGCAACTTTATTTACATCAACATTCATTGTTTAGAGTTCCCTTTGATTTTGACTTTTTTCAACAACAACCTGTTTGAAATTCTTGGCCTGTGAATGTCAGTAACTCCAGATTTGTAAACCCCCTACCTTCATCTTATGATCATTTTGCGATTCATAGTAAGCCATGCGGCACTTGAGGTGTGAGAGAGCATTTTTTGATAATTGGACTTTGCTATTATTACCATTTCACTTGAAAATTATTCACCTGAAGTTTTGTAAGCCATTCATCGCTATATTTTCTAAATCTGTAAGCTATTGTTGGCTTCCCTGAACGCTGACAATTTGTAGGTCAGTTGGACGTGAAACCTCTAACAGAATTATCCACTCCCTTAATAAGTTGAAGCTCACCAACAATCTTTCGAAACCAAATTAAGGTATTCACTCACTTCATTCTGTATTAAATGTCATGGCTCCAAGGAAGTTTCCTCCATTCTGCTTTCATCTCTCACACTTTTACAGTTTCAATTATTTTTAATTAGAGAGAAAGTTTAGTGAGTCAAATCTGTGAATTCTCCCTTTGTTATTTTTTTTCGCTTTTTTCATTTTTTTTATTTTTAATGATCCCACTTAACTCTATCAGACTTGAGGTAGCCGTCCACTAGCACAGACAAATAAAAATATATTTATTATTTTTCCATATACTTCACTCTACTTACAAGGAATCCGATGTCCAGTGGGTAAAGCTTGAAAGTCTCTTGTGGAGTCCTGTATTTTGGTTCTGCTGCAGTTGTGTACCACAGAGCATAATGTTTTTAATTGAATTAACTTCTTCAAACTGCCACTTTGTCATCCATAGCAAGAGCATTTCAGCCCTATCCAAATTTAACATTTTTTCCCTGCGTATGACGCTTTCTTATGAAACATGGAATCATCAATCCGCTGCGCCAAGTAAAAATGCCGCATGAGCGTTCGAATGTTGCCAAATTTTCTTTTAGGAAATATGTATTGTTGAAGAAAGTTATGAATACTTTGCCTTGAAATTTTCAAACTTTCTAGATCAAAGTAAGTCCGAACAAAATCCTATGAAAATCGAAGAGAAATATTCACAAATTTACCTGAAAATTCGTGATTTGTCTTAAGAAATTAGACACCGCCCGATGGCTCATACAGTGTTCTTCCTTACCTTGGCAGCAGTGTGCCTCCTCTTTTCATTTTAAGCTCCTAATGGTGAATTGAATTCATTTTGAGACATGGAGGCTGAATGTTCGTGTGTCGAAGTGTCCTTGTACAAGAACATTTGTTTTTCTAGAAAAATGCTCATAACATCGTTAAAAATTCAAATCATGGACTAAAATTTGAACGCTGTAGGTATGACGAGTTGAAAGAATAAATAGCCGAGGTGTTAGGTATTCACTTTTATTCTATTTTAAATAATAAATAAGTAATTAATTGATAATTTTGAATAATACTTTTTTCTATTTATAATTTTGAAGCTGAAGCTTTTCGGCTTTCAGCGATCAGCAGAGCATTATGTTTAACATTGATAAACTATAAACTATAGTAGTACATAATAACGTCAGAAAGCATTTTTATGGCCGTAAACATAACAACGCACTGGTCTTTTAGGTGTAGATTGCCACAAAAAATTGGTATAATGGCAAAAAATATTAACCACATGGTCTCGATATACTTACCTGTCTATGAGAAACCAATTAACATCAGATACTGAAAATTGATAACTTCGCCCAAAACTGCCTTTCGTCGCTCCTAGGAAAAATCTGGCAACTCGCTTCAAGTCCCCTTTTCCTTAAGTCCGTGCATCACATGTAATGGGCCAGTTGGCACAAAAACCTGAAGAAAGCAGTCCTTACTGAAGTGAAATTTGCTTTCATAACTTCTAAGATTTTTTTCATCTGAAGCAATAACTCATTCTTTGTATTTCTAAAGTTGTCAATGATGTACTGTATACTCCCTCTAACCCTCTTAATTTTCATTCCAGGCTCGTCGAGATCGTGGCTGTGATAAACTAAATTTTCCCATGATCGGAGTAAAATTGCATCAGTTGACAACCGCAGGTCTTCGACGTCAACTATTATGAATCAACTCTCCTTCCCTGCCATTTTTACCTTCCGTCGCCTTGCCTTCCCTAATTCCAACTCAACTGAGCAGATTATGTTGTAGGTATCAATCAAGCAGCATATGTTTACGCGTACATATATGCCCGTATATGTATGTGTAACATATATGTGACGTACAATCAAATATTTACGCAGCTCTCTTTTTCACCGTAAGTCCTCTCTTAAGTCTTGATGTTCAGTTGACATCGCAGCTGCTTTGTTATTTCACTCCTGCCGAGGAGTTCAGATTTTAGAGTGTGCTGTTTTTCTCGTTAATTAAGAGAAGTACCTGATTCCAGTTTTTGTTTTCCGTTTTTAGGCTGTTTTCATTTTCAGATGTTTAAGGCTTGAGCTCCAAGTTCAAAACTTAGTCGTTACTTTAGGTCCTTTTTAATTTTAACGATCTGCCGTCTCGTAGCCTCCTTTCTCCTCCTGAAACCAATCCTTTTGCCTTGATCCCACATCCTGTCCCGAGTACCGTGTGGCGGGATGACCGAAAATACCTCTGTGGAGAAATGGGTCTGCGAATATTGTACTTACGAAAACTACCCGTCATCTTTAAAATGTACCATGTGCCGTGGCTCCAAGCCACTTCTTAACGAGGATATCTTTAGACTTCAGGATGATACATCACCAGCTGAGCAATGCCTTGCTTCAGGTTAGTGTCGAAATCTTCTCCTATAAAACAGGGTGTCTACAAGTCCGGAAATAGTACCGATTTTTTAAGGACGGTTCGAAAGTACTGGAAAAGTGCGGAAATTCTGCAAGAAGGTCCGGAATATTTTTCATTTTTTGTTATTTTCGTCCCAATTTGAGCGGGAAATTCTCATTTTTGAAATTTGCTGAATTTCGTCAATTGGAGCTACTGAAAAAGCACTTAATTTTTCCCCTGAGGAAGTACTGAATTTCTCGGGAATGTACTGAAAAAGTACTGTAAAAGTTCTGATTTTTGGCCAGCCTATTTTAGTTGATACCCTGACATCAGGGCAATGTGCATGGACAATGAATTGATCTTGCTTGTGAGAGAATTGTGTTTCGATGGTGGAATGGCTCAGAATACATAACAAGAAATAGTGAAGAGTCGTATTTTGTTTGAGGTTGAGGTAAGTAACAGTTGGAATGTGTTTCCCAAAAACTGTTGTTTGTGTAACTTTTTCACAAGCAAGGAGCAACCAATGAGAAGATAGTTGAGCAAAGTGAGAATAGAGACTCCGTAATACTTGGTAACAATTTTTGGAACCTGCTCAGAGCATGTTCCGATTGTTGCGCATCGCAGTGTGTCAAAGGTTAAGACAGCATTGCTATGTTGTGCAAAAAAATGTTCAAATTAGGTATACAAGCCCTGCCCACTAACACTCGGTAACACACAAGCAAAATAGGATTGTCACGCACTGTTGCGAAACAGTTTCGAATGTCACGCACTGTTGCGAAACAGTTTCGATTGTTACGCCAAACAAAGTACGACTACTTAGGTGTGTACAAACTTCTCGTTTTTTCATGAAAATATCGCATTTGAACAGTAAAAAACATCTGCCATTGAATGAAATTTACAGAATGAAAGTTAACAAAGCAAAATATTAAATGAAAATATGAAAGTAAAGGCAGAGAAAATCAAATGTTCCTGCTTTGCAGTGCCCATGTTCATTGCAGGGATGTTCCTTCTGTGTCAGGAATTTTTTAAATTTCTTTTGTTAGAAATTCTACCCAATAACTTACTATATTCTAAACACAGATCCTTTCTTTGTTGGTGTAGCTAATCTTGTATTCTTATTTTCCTTGCAGGGCCATCGGAAATTAAAAGTGACAGCCTGGAGAATGATAAAAATTCAAGCTGTGGGATAGGCGCTTGCAAAGTCACACGGTCACCAACTGTGACTGCATCAAACATCCATGAACACTTCTCGCCACTGCGAATTGAATCCCTGGAACGCAGCACCGGTGCCTCCGCTGTTGATCAAAAGTCGCTCGGCTCCAAATCCAAGTGGAACTGTCAATCCTGTACTTACGAGAACTGGCCGAAAGCCACTAAGTGTGTTATGTGTGGCCATACGGCAACCAGAATTTCACCTGTTCCTTCATCATTCAAGGATACTCACATCCTCTCGCCCGAGTGGGACTTTGCCTCCGCTCACGGTGCTGCAAATATTGAGGAGTCTTTTCTGCCGTATAAAAAGTAAATTTGTTTTATTCTTGGTGTCTTGATTTTTTTGAGCTACATTTTAACTGCGATTATTCAACCTCCAAATATCAAGACATCGCATTATACCACTCAATTTTCCAGAATTTTTGTGCTCTTTAAAATGTAAAGTTGAGGTTCTTAACCATAGGCTTGTTGATCCAAAATTGAGGCCTGTTTGAAAGAGAAGTTCTCCCAGCCACATAAATGTTGGAGCCTGGTCTCCAATGAACCAGGCTCTTTTTTTAATGTTTTTTGGAGGAAAATACAGCGTGAATTTGATCAAGAATATTAGGAAGTGGGAATTGTGACCATCTTGATTACCAAAATTTTGCTCAACATTTATTAGTTAAGCATATTTTGTCAAGAGTTTGTTTGTAAGATTGCCCAACCTACAAATTAGGGAAATTCTATTGCAGATCTTTGAAACATTTTCCCGGAAAAATTGCGTTATTTTCTACCGCTCTCACTTGCTGTATCAATGAAAACTAGAGCTTCTGTCTGCAAGTCCTCAAATTTTATACATTTTCAATTTCAAGAGGCGTGTACTACAATTTTATGTGAAAAGCATTTCCATAAGATCCTATGCTGTTGAAAACATTGAAAAGTCAGGATAAAGTCAGGAAATTTGATATTCAAAAACCCTAAAAATCCTGGAAATGTAAGAAAATTTTAGGATCCAAGAAAACCTGTCACCCTGGAACATCGTTCTATGTCCATTTTATATTTTTGTTTTATATACCTAGAGAATATCAGAATATGTAAAGTAGTTAAAGTGGAAAATATTTGAAAAGGAATGGGTGGGTAACAGAATGGTTCAAAACCAAAAACTGTTTGTTTTATCTGCAGAAGTAATTCGATCATTGATTTTGCTTGCCTTATGTCAAATGCCTAATTTTTGCTGTTTGATTCACAGACCAAGTTCCCATCGTCTTGATGACTTGAGTGACCTTTCACCTAGCAACACGAATAATGCAGAATTGGACAGGCTTCGCCGAACACAATGCAACCGTAAGCGTAACCCTGACTGGAACTGGCTGAACGCGTGTGTGGGCATTGTTCAAGGTGATGCAAATGCTGTTGAAACTTATCTGTCCTCTGGAGGAGATCCTACACGCCAGCTGACGCAGATGGAATGCGCGTATCTCAATCGCCCATCCGCGTTTGATGTGGGGTATACATTAGTGCATCTTGCCATCAGGTGAGGTTCTTTAAGGTGATTCGATGGACGCCATATTTTGTGTCAGAACAGCATACGATACATCGCATTAATTGGTTCCATTTTTTTAGCTACTCGTCATTTTTCTCCAATTTTGAGAACGCAATTCTGTTGTCAGGAGACTAAAGCACTCACCAATTTTAACAAAGTAATTCAACTTAATAAAGGCGTGGTTTTTTCAGAGAGAAAACATCGTATTAGATATTGATATCGAAACCGTACTCGAATGTGATATTTTCTCTCTAAAAAAACCACGCCTTTAATACATTGAATTTCTCTGTTAAAATTGGTAAGTAAGTGCTTTAGTCTCCTGACAATAGAATTGCGATCTCAAAATTGGAGACAAATGACGAGTATCTGAAAAAATGGAACCAATTGATGCGATATATCGCTTACTGTTCTGACACAAAATATGGCGTCCATCGAATCACCTTGATTTTTTCTCTGTGCCAATATGTTTTTAGTTGTACCTTCTCTTGAAGACAAATTTGATAGTAGAGTCCTTAATAGATTATTTTCCCTTTCATTGGAGGGGAGAACTTAATAAGGGTGACAAGTTCTTGAAAGGTCAGGGAGTTTTGCCCAACTCAGAAAATTTATGGAAAAGCCAGTGAATTGCGTTGTGAAACCTAGAATTCCAAGAATAGAAAAAAAGAGAGCATACTACCATTATATGACTAAGTATCTACCTTTTCACCCCTTTCCTTGGAAACATCTCATTCCATTACGTTCAAACATGGAAGCCTGAAGAAATGTTGTGTCCATTAACGAGACCTCAAATTAGTTTTAACAATCTGTGATTCATTTGATATGGGCACAGAACTGCTCACAAATTTTCTCTAACATTCCTGTATAAACTTTCTCTTCGAAGACAGTCCAAAATATTCCAAAAATTCATTTTCACTGTTCAAACTTTAAAACAAGGTTTCATTGATCGAAGTTGCAGGAGTAAAATCCTCAAGAGTAAGATCACCCAGTGAATTATGAAGTTGATCCCTGTTAACTCCAGTTTGGTAAAAAAATTTTATTTCATTATTTTAACATTAAGTAAAGGTTTTTGGTAATCAATGAAAATCTTCATATTCTGTCCATCTGGCACAGATATAGTACAATATCTATTTCTCTTGTCCCAAAAGTACCAAGTAGGTTATCTGTAGTTCTCTGAAGCTTTGTTTCTTTACCAAAAGTTCATATATTACGTGTGTATAAACCATCAAAAATATTTATCTGTCTTTTATTGTACCTAATCTATCTATGTATCAGTTTTACTGACTTGCGAAACCACTTATTGATTCCAGATTCCACCGAGAAGATATGTTGGCAACAATCTTGTCGTACATTGAGGGCTCAGGCTCAGGGGTAAAACGTGTTCCTTCCTATGTCGCTCCAGATCTAGCATCAGATATTCGGCGTCATGTTGCGTCCACCATCAAACAACAGCGCAAAGCTTCCTTTCCTTGTCCCTTCGTTACCGAGCTTACTACTTTTACTCTTCCTGCCGGTAAGTTTCGTCACATGTATAATTATTATCCATAGGTTATGTGTCTTATATCAGGAAAAAAAAATCAGGAAAAAAAATGTCTTTCCTACCTTTTAGTGTATTTTTTGAAGGACGTACGATATTTTGTGTTCCATTCAAATCAACACAAAATTCTACCCCCAGCAAAAGTTGAAATCTCGATAGTAAAGTGGGGTGTACATGAAAACCGTCATGACCTGCCTTGTGGTGAAATGTTAATAGTCTGCATAATTTTGGCATTTTATTCTTACATAAACACTAAAACACTGCAACTAGGAACTACAATATCTGACTCAGTTTATAAAAAACGTATGTACTATTAGTTTCTCTATGCCTTTAAGTGTTTTTTTTTTATGGTTGAGCCAGAAATTTTAGTTTCTTATTGCATAAAGTAGTCCATATGGACCAAGTTGAGCTGGAAAGAACCAAGTTATATCAGCTATCGCCAAATCTCATAGAGCAATTTATTATTTTACATGAGAACGGTTGTACCGATTCTTTGAAACCTCTTGGATTTTGCCACAAATCATCAAGAAAATCCCCTGAAATTTTTCAAAGAATCTATGTACCATTTTGTCACAAAAAAAAATTAACTGTCCATTGAATTTTGTCAATAGTTTAAGTAACTGACTTTAAGCAGTTAAAATTTTCCAAAAAAAAATATTCACTCCTAACATTATATAATAAATATTTGAATTTAGACTTCTTTCATTCCTTCACGGCCTGGCCAATATCAGCATCTCAAAGCTATAAAATTTTCCAAAAAAATACCCACTTATGTGCATTAAAATAAAACTTTATATCTGGAAGAACTTCGGCTGTATTTCGCCCCGGCCATCATGAGGAACTAGACTCATTGCTGCGACTTTGTTCAGTTCTCAAATTTGCTTTATTTTTTCTCCCCTAGAAATCGAAGATCTGCCAATGATAATTCAAGAACAACTTTTTGAAGAACTTCTGGACAAAGATGCTCAGCAGCAATTGGAGGCTGATCCGCCTGTGATCAATTGGTCTTTAGAGGTCACTGCACATCTGGGCTCACGGCTCTATGCGCTCTGGAACCGGTCAGCAGGCGACTGTCTTCTGGACTCATTGATGCAAGCCACTTGGGGCGTGTTCGATAGGGATAATATCCTCCGCAGAGCTCTTGCGGATCTTTTGAACAATGGCAGTCATGTGTAAGTAATGTGGTACATTTATCCTTAAAGCAAAAAAGCTTCCAAAGTTTAATCTAAGGGTGCAGAAAGTTCCAAAACACTGACCATTCACTGCGATCCGCCGTTGTTCCAATTAGCCTCACAGCCTAATGACAGATTTTCTGGTAAAATGTATTTTACCAAAATTTTTTAAGTAGGTACTTATTGAAGGGGTAAATAAAGACATCATTTTTGAAAATTTCCCCAAATTCATAATTTGCCTCTTGCTTGCAGCGATTCTAGGAATGTACGATTGGACATTTTATGTACCCCTGTTCTCTTTAGTCAAAAAAATATTCAACCTCATTTGGAGATTTTTAATATATACATATATAGTTTATTGTGCTTGATACTGGATTGCCTGAAAAATGGACCGAGTTTAACAAAAAGATCCAAGCCACATCAGCTAGTGCCAAGCTTAACTGAGCAATTAAATTTATTACGAGAGAACATTTGTTCGGAATTCTTTGAAAATTTTAAGAAATTTGCTTCGTACCGTGAAGAATTTTCACTGAAATTTGCATGAAAATCCGCACAACCGTTTTCATGTAAAAAATTAAATTGCCCAATAAAATTTGGCAATAGCTGATGTGGCTTGGTTCCTTTCTGCTTAACGCGGTCCAAATAGGGCTATGCCCTAGTTGTTAGTGGAAGAAGAAGAAAATTTGGAGATTTCACCTTGTTTCTGAAGATTTTCAATACTTTTTGACACTTCTTGTTTAGATTTAAGGTAGTTCCTCAACACTTCGAAGAAAGATTTGATAGTTGGACTACATCTTGCAATTTGGAATTAAAATTTCTGGATCATCTGCCGAAACATACTTGTGCCGAGGAGAATTTAAAGAACATGCGTTACTTCTTTACTGAGCCAGTAATTGTAGCTCCGAGTTGCAAAATGCAGTGTCTTGTTGATCGATCAATTGATAATTTCTGGATTCAAGGACATTTCTTAAGAATGTCCTTGCAGCATATCTGTTGTAGTGCATCAAGTATCGGCACACAAAATTTGACCAAGAAACTTTATGAGATAACCGTGCTGCCTTTCTATTTGCAGTTTTCACTCAGACCGTACTTTAGGTGTTGTTCCAGAGTGTTTCCCAGTCAAATTTTGTGCTCTAATACCTGATGTACTATACTAGGATGTGGTGCTCAAAAATTTTAAAGAAATTTCCAATATTTAAAAATGGTTAATTAATTTAACGACCATCTAATTGCTCACCAAAGTGCAGAAGAATCACCTTGAACAAAAATCCTTCCTTCTACTGTGAGACCTCGATTTATCGGATTTCACAGGGCCGGTGGCCAAATCCATTAAATCGCAGAATCTATTAAATCGCGTTTGTAGGTCCCGCTGCTTGACCAGAGGAATTCCGTTAAATCACAGAATTTGTTAAATCGCGATCCGATAATTCGAGGTCTTACTGTACCTTCTATAAGCATTTTTCTGCATTTTTTCTGCCAAAAAATGCAAGTTTTTTGCAAGTTTTCTTTGCAAAAATGCAAATGCAATTTTTTTTCCCTGCAATTTTTTTGAACTCATCAATTCATCTGTTCTGAATCTTCTGCTGAAATTTAAATTTTTGCTTTTTTTTCAGATTTTACCCCTATTGGAAAGAGTACGAGGCATCTCAAGCTCGTTTGCTTCATTTCTCGCTAGAAGAAGGCCAGTGGGAAGAAGAGTGGGCAAGCCTCGTGTCGTTGGCAAGTCAGCCTGGTGCTAGTTTAGAACAGTTACATATTTTCGCGCTGGCTCACATCTTGAGGCGGCCAATCATAGTCTACGGTGTGAAATACGTCAAGAGTTATAGAGGAGAACCTATCGGTTTTGCTCGTTTTGAAGGTGAGAGAATTTAATTTATCGATGTATATTCATCTTGTTTGTTTTACCTTTTCCACTACCACTACTAAGTCACTCTTACAGCGCTTCTGTGCGCTCTGTGACACCCAACCAACACTGATAACGATCCTGCCAGAGCTCCTCCGGCAGATTGCATCTCCTCATTTCCTGCCGTATTCCCTCAATAAAAATTTTGTGTGAACCTTAAGCAATTCCGCTTGTATCCTCCGAAAGAAGACGCAAATTTTTGAAAAATGAGCTATTTTCAAACTCGAAGTATATAAATAAGAATTTCACCAATTTCGATTTTTTTTCCAAGGAGCTCACGTTAAACTCTCTCTTTTGCATCGAACTCTGAGTAAAAAACTCGAGGCTAGTTTAGGCATGACGTAGAAAGTAAATGCCTCTTATTTTTAAACATTTGATATTTACCTGTTTCAGGTGTTTACTTGCCGCTGCTGTGGGAGCCAAGTTTCTGCGTCCGTTCACCGTTGTCCCTAGGCTACACACGCGGGCACTTTTCTGCTTTAGTCACAATAGAACCTTATTCAACAAATTCAATTAGTAATCAAAATCCTGATAGTACTGATAATTCTTTACAAGTAGCGTTCCTGCCGTTAATGGATCACCAGCGCAAGCTGTTACCCGTGCATTTTGTCATGCCATCAGAGGTAATGATTCTTTTAATTTCTTAATACTCTAATCCGAAAATTCATGGAACTATACTAAACTAAGTAATGCTTACAAAAATCTGAAGAATAAGAGTAACAAAGTTTGCAATGTAAGTGAATGATTGCCTGTTCCCTGGTATTCAATCAATATATTGATGGCCAAAGTGCTAATCTGCGTATCTTTGTTTGCAAAGTTGCAGATTTCCTGTCATACTCTATTTTGTTTGGGAAAATAGTCAACATAATTTCCTGAAAAATTCTTTTCCTCCATCTTTAAATCTCAACTTTTATTTGCTGCGTCAACCTTGAAAAGTATTGTGCTTTTCGTGCTTTATCTATTTTTTTCCTGGGTCTACTTGCTTGTATTTCAAGAAAAGTGACATTCACGTTGTCAAATATTTCATTGCATGTTTTTGTTTTATTTACATTTTTTCATGTGAAAAAATAGTTAAAAATTTTATCCACTAGGTTCAACATTCATAATGGTCAGATTTAAACATTAATTTATGCCCTCTAATTGCAAAATAATTAACTAAACTGCTCACTCCGTTTTACAAACCAATTGGAAAGAATTTTCTATGGAAAACTCATACTCCAAGTCTTTGACTCAATTTGACAATAATTACTCTTCCAATCATTTTGGTCGAGAAACTAACGTCTCTTATCCTACTAACAGTCTCTATAAAATTTTAATTTGATCAATTATGAAGTATCAAATACCAGTTGAAGTATTTACTTTAAAAATGAGCTCTTAATCATACAATTTATGCCCTCTGGAAGTGTTCATTTCATCAGTTTTTTGTTTCTTTTCAGACTGGCCGAGAAGAGAACTTATTACGCCAGTGGCTAGATGTTTGCGTTACGGATAGTGGCCTCCTAGTTGCTCAACAAAAATTGTACAAACGGCCTTTATTAGTTGCTCAAATGCTCGAAGAATGGTTAAATCATTACAGGAGACTAGCGTAAGTACCCTTTACACTTAATAATCAGAGAAGTGAGGTCTGTACATATTTCAAAGCTCTGCAGCAAAGTCAGCAGCAGCGTTTCTGGCAATCAGAAAAATTTTGAAAGTCCGAAGATTTACAGCAACCTCAAACAGTCAGACAAGTAGTGTGAGAGAGAAATGCCTCTTTTTAAGATATAAAGAATAACTTACTATCTGTATAGTGCCTTTATCTCTAACTTTAGTTTTAAGAACCGGAAATTTTGTTCGTAGTTTAGCAGGCCACTGTGATTTAAAGAAAAAATCTAAGTCAAGGTTTGTATTGAAGATCAGGAAATTTGGAGTCAGGCAAAAGCAAAAAAAAGTCACAGAACCGGAAAACAAAATTGAATCAGTGAGAACGAAAACGCACCAACTCGAAAAAATGAAAATAATCCAAGACATATACAGAACTGCATAGTATGTGAAGAAGTCAGTCTGAGAAAAATATTTTTGGTGCCGAAATTAAGACAAGTACACAAGGGCTTTTCAAAGGTCCAAGTCGGGAAAGATATGCTAACTTCAATTACCTTCATGAAAATTGACTGTCCTTAAGGCCCTGTCCACACACGTGTGGTTTGAGGAATTTATTCGACGAACTGCTCAGTTCCCGGAACTTGTTCCTTGAAAGGAGGGATGCTGTCCACACGAGTTTGCCCGAACTGGAACCGGAACTTCAATAAAACGATACAATTATTGCAAAATAATAGATTATTACGGCCGCCAAAGTAACAAAAATAAATGTCAAGACATGTAAAAGACGTAAAAAACAAAAACAAACCAATTCACATCTAAAGAAACATATGTAGAAGCTCGGAGTACGGGGGAAGTTCCGGGAATAAGTTTTCAGCTCAGCTAAAATTTGTTCCGGGAACAAGTTTCTCGAACTAAGTTCCGTGAACCGCGCTCGTGTGGACATGGCCTAATGAAAATGGTGCATCTCCGAGTTACCGGGTTGGTGTGTTTTTGTTCTCACTGATTCAACTGTGGAGACAGTGTATCATAGATAACAGTAGAGATGCATGGCTATTTTTTCTTTTTTTGTCTGTCTCGCACTAGGTGGTTTCAAAAGATGCATGCCTATTGAAGCACACAAATTTTTTAAATTAAGTAAAGTAAGTAAGAAGTTTTCTGTGCTTTTATCCTGTCTTTACTGGAAAATATTTAATTTTTATGCATTTAATAACTTTGTATATCAGCTATCAGCTTTCAGCTGCAATTAAATAATCCAATGAACATACAGATAATCCAACAAACTGAATATGTGTTCTTAAATCTTTTTTTTATGTATTTATTAATTTCTTAAATTTTTTGAAATCATCACTCGTAATTTCTGTGCTTTCCTCCAGGCAAATGTCAAACGCGCCATTTGTGAGACCAATTCCAGTGCAAGACTATTCTAGCGACGGCGACTCAGATGATGAATGACTGCTTGGGGTTTGAGTCCAATCGCAGTTGTAGCCTCATCTCTCGGAACACCTCGTTGCAGCGAAATTAGAATTTTGGCTGTTTTATTATCGCTTGTTTCTCACTCGCACCCTAAGAACCAAGTCAAAGCGCAATAAAATCTGAACCAAGTTTGTTGAGGAAAAAGTAGGTACCGTAGATCAGTCCTAAACAGCATTGTATTAGGAAACAAGTTTCATGCAACATTTTTAATGAAGTCAGAGTATTTATTCCCAAAATTGTAATGTATGTGAAGTAAAGATTAAAGTCAGGTCTCCAAGATTTTTCATTGTTTAACCATTCTAAACATTTATCCAGTGAGATTTACAGCTCTTGAGCCGTTTAAAAAATTCAATATTGACAGAGTCTTCATTCCGATCAAATTTTTACATAAGATTTAAGGACTTTTTGCAATCAAGCTATAATTTACCGTCCTGCTTTGTACTACCTTTTTTTTTGCGTAGCTCCAGTTGTCATCACAACGCCACAGCGTGGATGAAAAAACACCGCAAGACTCACCATTAGTTTGTTTAGTCACACATGGCTCATGATAAATTTAGAGCTCTATGTTAATCAATAAAATCAGAAAGATCGTAACATGATTAGTCCCAAAGATAAAGAACGAAGGATTTGGGCGCATTGACGTTGACAATGCAGGTTTGCTCACACTTCATGTGTAATTATTGTGATTTCAATTCCAAGGTTTTTACAGAGTTTTTGTATGGCGTTCAAAATATTTTGCCAGTTTTATTTACTTTGTTTCGAACTTATAAATGTTTTATTGCGCTTGGACTCATTCTTGGATAATAAATATTTCTTCCCCTCCTCTGCGGAATAAGTGCTACGTAGTATCTCATTGTCATTAGATTGTCACAAGTACCTTGAATTTTACGAACATTGATCCACACTGGCTGTATCACCAGTAATTTTTTTAATTTTTGATGCAGTCTCCAAATCTCTTTTTTTCGGGCCGGACTTCTTTTCCTTGCCTGTCTCGAGCTAATTTTTGTTGTTTTTGTGTCTTTTTTGTTTATATTTTTTTTCTTTCTTTCCAAAATGTTACCCCACCAAATTAAAAGAAAGTTAGTTTTCGACTTGTGTATTCTTAATGTGTATTTCTGATTTTTGGTTTCATTCTTTTTTCGTATTTCTGCCCAATTTCGGGGACAATTTCTTGGACTTAGCTTGGATGCTGGGAGATTTGCCGTGCAAAATCAAAATTCTGTGCTCTAATAAATTCTGTAAGTTAAGCTTGTCATAGGCTGAAATTCTTGCCTTACGTTTTATAGTACGTTCAATTATCATTTATAGTCGCCGAACCGAATTCTCCGTTGCAGCAAAATAGTGTATTTGCTCTTGCCCCCAATCCTCGTAGCATGCAGTTAAAATTTTCTTGAAATCCTTGATGTTAAGTAAGAAACAGTTTGTTTCAAAGTTTAGTGTCTTTTTTTTTCTATTTTTTCTCAACTTTTTGAACTACACATAATGATTGTTTTCAATTCAGTCTCTTACTTCAATCATGTTTTTCTTTTCTCACTGTACATTTTGGCTCTCACCAAATTGAACACTTTTTAATTTTATGATGTAGCTCAGAAATACAAAATTGAGGTATGAATTTTCAAAATATTTGTCCGTTTAAACTTAACATATATTCAAAATATTTATGATCCCATTGTGAGGAATGTAAAATTTGGTTCTTTCTCTCCTTTTTTTGTTGTTGACATTTTGAAGACTAACTATTACAAGGAATCAATTTAGTTTGAGCAATACTGAAATAAATGTTTCAAATGATACGGAAATTAATTACCTAGCGGGTGAGTTTGTTATTTTATGTATGAAGCAGGGTTGCCACAGTTAGAAAATACTGAGAAAACGAGGATATGTCAGGAAATTTTATAGTCAGGGAAAATGATGAAAGTGTCAAGGAAAAGTTTTTAGATTACCTTCATTCGCTTTCTAGAATCGGTTCAACGTTTCTAACTCAACAAAGTTTGGGTGATAACTGTTTCAAATTGTGTCTCTTAAATATCCGGCACATCCTCAATCGTCTGAAAATTCTACCAAAATGTGTCAGGGAATTTCATTTTCTAAGCTCTGCAGCAACCCTGAATCGAGACAAGCTGAAATCCATTTCCTCTCTCTTTCAGATCAATCAAATTATCCTTCTGGTTAACATTTGTTCCAGACTGTTTCCATTTTGCCGCCCCTCATCTTATTATTTACCTTATCATGAAGTAAAATTCTGTTTTGTTAATTGTAAATAATGTTTCAGGAACATTAGAAGTTTTGAATTTCCGGGTATTGTAATCTTTTAAGGGGAATATACTTACCCATCCTGTTGTGATGGCGAGGAGAGCAGTAAGTACATTTCTGTACGAGCCTTGGTAAGCACATGCTTTTATGTATCTTGAGGTTCATCCCAGCATGCACTTACTACTCTCTTCGCTATGACGGCAGCTTCGTCTCAAAGAATCAAGGGTCTAATAAATTTCCTTATCATAAGGAATCTCACATGTGTAGGTTTGCACCATTATTTGCATCAGGGATCAAAGCTGTTTTAGATAAAACTTTAAGTGGCTGATCTTTCTCTGAGGGAAAATTTTTCCATGAATCAAAGCTTTGCTCGAGAGACCAATTCTAATGTTAGACTCTGCAAGCTCTCTACGAATACTTTTGGTAATTTAGTAACCGTTTTAAATGAATCTAAAATTGCAAGTAAATAGTAGGGTTTGATTCAATTTTGAGGCTGTGAAATGTGAAAGGCCATTATTCTCTCGATTAGCGCAGTACAAAGGTATCATTTAAGAGGGCTGAGGCGAACAACTGTGACCCCTCCCCCTCTGATTTGCTAGATGGACTTTTTTCTCGTAATTTTAATTATCGCATCGCAGCTAATGTTTTCTGGAGTTCCATCTTCCCAAACAATACTTGCCACGAAAATTTCTTTTTAAATATTCTATCCTTAAAGTAAAGATCCAAATTTGATCGTAATATCTACCAGCCCTTCAAGAGTTTGATAAATTTCATAGAGATTGTGTTCCACAACATTAAAATTCGAAATTGCTTCTCTGAACATGTACTCGTTTGTTAGGAGTTCGTTTTCTTAACTTGCTCAGAACATTTTATCTAATCTGTCATAATGCTTGTTCACTCATTAGAATTATTAAGAAGAATTTTATGCTTTAGTCTTTAATTTCCGGCAAATGAATCTTTTATTTAAATATGATTCTACATTCTTCCCGAGTTACTAGCGTGAAACCAGAGCAATTTTATATCAAAAGAACTGTTACATCAATGCAAAAGAGGTCTTCAGAAAGATGATTCACATCCAATTATCAAAAACAGCCCTAGCATTTCATGAGAAAAATTTAATAAATTCCATTGAAATTCATGAAAGTCTCATTCAGAGACAATTGAACAAGTCTCAGTCCTAATTGGTAATTTTGGGTGCGTAATGAAATTTTCAATAGTTTTTCAATCAGAAGTTAATAGCTCTTTAAGATATTTATGGATTATTTACACTTATGTATCACCCTGTTGAATACCCTTGAACTGAGAACAAATATGTAAAATTGTTTTGACAAAAAATCATTTTATTTCTAGAACTCCTCAAATTCGAAATATTCAAACCTCATCTCTGCTATCACTTTTCATACAAGTCATAGTTCGGTAAAATAACCAAAACGTTCTAAACCTGTTCTCTGAACTTATGAATTACAACAGAGGTAACTGGCATCTGTTCACTCTTTCTAATCTGGAAAAGGTAGCATGTATCTTTGCCTTGAAAATGAATCAAATGTATTTTCTGGATTTACAAAATCCTCCAAGTCATAACTTAAAGTGCGTCTAGCCCTGAGTAAACTTTTTTTTTCTCCGTTGAGAAAATTGCCGAAAGAATTTTTCTTATTTTTCTTCCTCAATTGAGTTGGTTTTCTCTTTTTTCTTCCTTGGTTATAAACTCTATTCTAGAAAATATGTTAAGAATAGTCATTGTTTGTATATAGTTCGTAAAATATTTCCTCCTCTTTAAACCGACCTTTTCAACATTGTTAATTGGTTACTTGATTGTTTGTACCTTTTTTCAGGCTGTCTGCTTGACATGTGCGTGATTTGCTTTCAATTATGTAAAAGATAAGAATTACAAAAGCAAAATAAACTATTAAGGAAACAAAATTTCAACTTGTGATACAACGCAATTGTCAGCAGACAATTTATTCTGCAAATTTTGTTATTTGATAATTAGTTTATTGTACATAAACTTCAATTATGATAATTTATAATAAAACTATGTTTTATTTCTTATCTCTGCTCTGTTAGTTCGTCACTCCCTAACTTTTTAACTTTAAATTCTTTTGGAAGATTCAAACATTATAAAATCTATTTATCGACAGTGAAACTGCAGGAATCATTTTGTTCATTGGCAACATTGCAAACTAAGAAACATTCCCTGTCATCCTCTATTGTTTATATGGAAAATGAAAACAGAATTGCCACAGTCAGGGAAAACTGGAAAATCTCAGAGAAAATCACAAAAAAGGCAGGGAAAAATCACCTTTACATGCTTTCTAGAGTGTGATTAACGTTCTGAACAACAAATATCGCAAAGTCAGGTTTGGAGGTGGCGATTGTTATGTCCTTCTAATCGTTTCACATCACATGTCAGCGGTGAAACTACTAGATTTCTACATATCTCGGTCTGCGACATTGCAAATTCCTGTCATACTTTACTTTTTAAATGGAGAACTACTCAACGTCAATCCTTTAGAACTTCCATGGGTTTTTTTCTCCCTGCGGAGGACATTTTGAGAAAACATCAAGGAATGATGTTGTTCCTTCTCCTTTGAGGAAATAAGACAGGAGCAGAGATTTTTAAATAGCATCGATGCGATATGTGGTTTGGGAGTTTTTCTGATTAAAACCTCAAATGTCATGGAATTTCACTGTCTTAATTCTGTGGCACTCCTGTACTTAAGTACTGTCACATCTTGAAAACTTCCGTTACTTTTATGTTTGGGTAAACAATTTTGAGCCATGATGTTGGATTTCTTTCTTCAAAGAAATAAAATAGGAGCTTAAAACCCTGGAGGTACTAAAATCATTAAAGTTTAGGATTGCATCCCTATTCCGAGCAAGCCGCAGTGTAGGTATTTATTTTTTTCAATCTAAAAAATAAAGAAAACTGTTAAAAGAATTAAAACTATATTACAATTATAATACAAAAAAGGTTTCAATTTTTAGACAAGTTCATCCTCGCAACGAATATACTCTCCAATATCACTCTGATTAAAACAAACTATTGCGACTGGATCTGCGTGTTTACATTCTGTAGTGCTCTTAGCTGTAACACCAAAACCTATAGGAATATTACTCATGGATAAAACAACAACTCCTTGATGAAGAGGCGTGCTTTCAGTTATTCTTCCAAGTCCTGATTTCAACACATGGCGACCATACAAGAAAGACTGCTCGGCTGCTGGTTTTACCCAAACTTTAAACTGAGCATATGGAGCTAAGTAATCTAAAGCGGTGATATGGAGTCGGAATTTCCCCGATTTTGTGAATTTGCCGAAGCATGTGCCGCAACATATCAAGTTTTCTGGTGGAATAGAACCTGCAAGTTGGAGCACTTTCTCTGCAATGTAGTAAATTCTGCTATTCTGCTCTCGAAAGCAATAAATGCCATCAGGTCTGTTTATCAGCATTTCGATATTTTCTCCGATATAGTTGGCGAGCTTGGTGAACAAAGTCTTTGTTTGTGCTTCCGAAAGTCGCTTCATCGTGACAACTTGATGATACCTAAAAAAAGAAACAAGTAAAAGTTTAGATAAAATCACTAAAGGAATGAGAAAGATAATGCAGAAATCATAATCGGGTAAGACAGAAAATTTTGTGAGTGATGAGTTTGATTCAACAGATTAGAATCAAGTAAATACTCAATAGGGCTTTTTACTATCCGAACCACAGTGGACCGCATCACTTTTTTATCCCGTTCCACTGGCGCGTTCCATGTGTTCCAGTAGAACACTTGGACCACTCTTCTGAGGTAGGTTGAGGTTGTTGCAGGCTGGTTGAACCAGCCCGAACCGCTACCATCGCGTTCCACGGATAAAAAAAAGCCCTAATCTGCCAAGCAATTACAGGAATTTTATAATTTTATAGGCTCTATTTGCAGTTTAAGCTTTGATCATTTAGAAAATGAAGCCAGCAAGAAGAAAACGAGAGAAAGAAGGACCTCTTATTTATCTATACTTGAAAACAAACTAACCTCTTATTTATCTATACTTGAAAACAAACCACTTGTAATTCACAGGAAAACCTGGTGCTGTATCTTCTCAAACTTCTTTTTTCTCTTATTTCCTCAAGGGCTTTACTTTATCCAAACCGCAGCGGATCGCTATGGAATGCGGCACTTTTTTATCCCGTTCCATTAATGCGTTCCAGTGGAACACTTTTCTGAGGTGGGTTGAGGCCGCGGTTAAGCCCGTTGAACCAGCCCGAACTGCAAAGATCCCAATTCATCGCATTCCACTGATAAAAAAAGAGCCCTTCAGACAAAGGAATAAATGCGAATAGGACATAGTGGTGATCAACAATGATCATTTCAGGATGAAAGGTTGAGAAAAGGCTGTATATGAGAGAGAAAAATGGAGGGAGACACTGAGATAAAAGAATATGCGGAATCTGAGCACTCAACTGCTGGTTCCTTCGAAAGTTTCTTCCTGCGTCAGCTTCATTCTTTTCTTTGATGTTACTTGTTTATAAATGTTTCAATTTATTTCTTTTGTAAAAATGATAGGATGAGCCTAAAAATCATGCTGATTATAGAAATATTTTTGTTTGACACCTGTTCTTGGTCTGGCTATAGATCGCAGAATGAAGAAATTAAGAAGCAGAGATTACCTAGAACTAATTTCCACTCAGGAGAACTTTCTGCACCCTCAGTGAACCGGCGCAGCACAACAGATTTCCCTCTGTTCGGCTGATAAAATTCTTCTATGCAGCTGAACAGAAGAGAGACTTAATGCTTTTGCAGGTCTCAGAGCAGGGGCAGAATTATTGAAATAAGAGGATTTAGAGTACGGACCTCCATCTCACCATCAACTAATTCGAAGGAGATCACTTTGAGAGCTTTGCTAAATGCCAAATCCATCGAAACGAAAGCTTTTTACAGATAATCATAAATCAGTAATGGCGATGCTACTATGAACGTAAAAAGCATCAGCTTTAAACCTCAACTTCAAATCTTCTCTTCTGTGAAATGGAGCTCTCTTGGATTAAAAGGGACTGAATGCGTACATTTTGATGACTTCTCAAACAAAAATGGAGGGTCAATCTATAAACGCCAAATTTTGGCTAAAGAGAGGTGAATACTTACGCAAAATAACTGTTTGCCCGTGTTGAATTTGTGTGTGCCTTCAAAAGGTATGTCTTCGCCCCTGTAAAACTTGTCACGTGCACTGAGGGTCAGGATTGAAACCGACGCTTGAATAAAAATTAGGTATTCAGAAGACTTAAATGATTTCTCATTTCTAAAATTGATTAAATTCTTCTATAAAAGTCAAACACATGTGCTGGAAAATTGGAATACAACGTGGGGAAAACCAAAACACCAACTTAACCTAACTCAGTTCGCGGATCCAACAGAACAACAAACATCAGTTTACTGATGAGTGGTGAAAACTGAGCAGTGCTCCGAAGTTTCAAATTTTCGCGGATGACGTTTCTATCTTATTTTTTTTTACAATTTACTTTTTTTTATATTTGTGTTTTATTGTTCCAGTTTTATGAAATGTTTAAATGTGTGTAATAAAGTATCTCTCGCGAGTTTGTTCGTTCACTCAGAGATAATCATGCCGCAAATGTGGATATACGTGGGACTCAGTACAATTAAGTACGTACGTAGTGCAGGTGTGATACATTTTCTCGTAAGTATAAGTACTTCTAGCATGACTTAGTTAATTTTGTTTGAGAATATTACTGTAGCTCAGGAAGCACTATATCTTAATATGAAAAGCATTTGTTATGTCGAACAGCTAATGTTGTCAGTATCTCTAGTTGAGCTGTGTATTTTTAAGCGCCCAAGGAACAAAATGAAAATATTTTATGAAAAAAAAATTAATGAAAAAAATTTAGATAATAAGGAAAAAATAGCCAGCATTATGGAAAGTGAACAGAACATTTAAAGTGAGTGTCACTATATTTATCAAAGAAAATAGGTCTATTTCCTGTCTACAAAATGGATCTATTTTCCGTTTACCTACCTACCCTGCTAAAAATGGTGAGCACAAATGAGTAGAAAATCAAAGTAATATACCTAAGAATAGAATTTCAACTCATATAAATAGAATTTCAACTTATATGAATATCAAAAAAATCATAAGGACAAAATGTTTTTAATTTTCAAAGAGCCTCCCAAAATTTCGCCCCTTTTTCTGTATCCGATTCGACCATCGAACCAAGGTTTAAGTGGAAGCTTATAATAACAGAAAGCTCAGGAAAAAATTTCAAGATGAGCGTAGGAACCGTTTTCGAGTTACGGGGGGGCAAAGGCCAAAGGGGTCAAACTGCGGCCTTACTTTTCGCTATTTTCTTCTTGAATTGATGTGTCTACGGGGATGTTATCGTTGTTTACACATGTCATACACACCGGTTCCTACGTATTTTTACACGCAAAATCGAGTTTTAATGTTGACGAGTCGAAATATCGATCGGTTATATCGATTTTTTAAGATTCTTTACGGGAAATCGACGATTTTTTTGAGATTGAAATTGTTCGTTTCTGATTCATGGATGACTAAATGCACCTAATATGACTATAGTACACCGACACCTACGTATTTTTTCTTGTAGAATCGATTTTTAACGTTAACGAGTCGATATATCAATCGCTTATACCTATCGAATTTTTGCGATTTTTTAGGAAAATCAATGATATAAATTGGTATTGAAATTGGTTATTCTCCATCGGAAAACAACCAAATTTTGGGTTGGAACGAATTTCCGGTCGGGTCGATTTCTGGTCGAGTAGAAATTAAAATTTCCGATTTCCGGTGAAGTGAAATTTCGGGTGGATAACGAATCCCGTTGATTGTGGTTTCCGGTCGGTCGGATTTCCGATCGAATCAAATTTTCAGTCGAGTCAAACTTTCAACAAGGACACGTTACTGGTTGGAAACAGTTTCCAGTTGGGTTAATTTCTGGTCACGTCATGTACGGATGGATTACGGTTCCAGTGAATTGGAATTTTGGGATGGGTCAGATTTCAGGTTGAATCGAATTTCCAGTTCGATCATGTTTTCGATTGGAGCACGTTTCCGGTCGAGCAGAGTTTACGGTTGTCGATTTCCGGTTAAGTAAAATTCGGCCGGACGATTAGTCGATTGATTTGAGTTTCCGGTGGGTAAGACCGGTTGAGTAAAGTTTTGGATAGCAGGGTTAGATCAGGTTTTTGGTAGAGTAGGATTTTTGGTAAATTTGAGTTTAAAGTTAATTTAAAGATTCAGTTAAGTGAATCAAGTGCCCGTTTAATTGAACGATCCCAAAATTTTAATTGACGATTTGCGTTGTCCAGGAAGATCATCGAATTTTGAATCCAAGAATTCCGAGGGATGTACCAGAAACAAAAAAGAAACACACATGCTGATTAGAAGAGAGAAAAGTACATGTAAACTTAAAGATGGAAATAAATATCTCTGAAATCTTTATCAGTGTAAAAGTCGCAAGTAGTCAGCAATCGCCGACAATTTGCAAACTCCGTAGGTACTTTTCAATTCGTCAAATTGTAATTACGATAACATCGATATAGTAAAGATTTATTTACGCCTTCAAATCCAGTGATACTCTCCGCTTTGCCAAGGAGTTAGTTTAGTTGCTTAACCGAACCTAACACAGATTATTGATGACATTTCACGAACTCGCGAGCGAGAGAGAAGTGCGAATCTCGGAAAACACGATTTTCCAGGAGAGTAAAAAAAACTGTCTGCATTCCTCTTTGTTGTCGGTAGAAGGGTAAAAATTCTTGAGGATGGCAAGAATAAGATGTTTTTTCAAACTCCATCCGCAGTTTCAATAATTTCTCGAACTGTTAGAAAATACGGCAGAAATGCCGAGGTTCGCGTTTTTGGCAATAAGAATCGACACTTCATCAGGAGATACGCATTTTTGCAATTAGTATTTAAACTTGTTGGTGGATTTGAATCATTTACATACTGAAAAAATAGGTTTCACACAAAAAATTCCTTATCAGAAAAGATTTAGTTGGTCATTTATGCTCCATCCATCCATACTTTACGCTTTCTTAATAGACCAGTGGACAAAGTACCTTTTCTTCAATTTTGATTATTCACAGTTAATCAAAGAAAGCTCATTTTATCCGTGCGAACTTTTTGAATTCACAACCGCTTTTGAGTAAATTGCGGTCTGTAAACGGTGAGTCATTCAGTTTCGCTTCAGAATACAATGACCGAACCAAGGGCCTTAAAATACACAATCTGATCCAGCCGCTCTCTTCTTTGATTTGAGTTGGAGAAACGAAGAACAATCTTATTATTTTTTTAAAATAATATTCCTAAGAATTTTTCGAATAAACGGCTCAATTTAAAACCTAAAATTTTGACTATTTGGTCAACATCATTGTACAAGGACATTCACAATGGATACAGAAGAGCGCCTTCAAATCAACCCGTAAACTTAATGCAAAATTCTGATACCACTATTCATGCGTCACTGCAGTCATTTTGCATAACCGGCCATTTGAAGGCGAATCAATGACTTCAGGCAACGGGGTACGAATTACAGCAAGGAGCCAAAGCCGGGGGTCCGCCCCCTGACCCCTAAGGAGCATAAGCCAGGGGTCCGCCCCCTGACCCCTAAGGAGCATAAGCCAGGGGTCCGCCCCCTGACCCCTATGGAGGTTGAAGGCGAATCAATGACTTCAGGCAACGGGGTACGAATTACAGCAAGGAGCCAAAGCCGGGGGTCCGCCCCCTGACCCCTAAGGAGCATAAGCCAGGGGTCCGCCCCCTGACCCCTATGGAGGTTCGGAGATGTGCTCCAACGAACGACCTCGCTAGTCGCACAGTGGATCGAGTCGCAATTAGAGAGGTCGGATACGAAATTTTGGACCAAAACTGCAAATTTTTATGTTTATTTCGTCACATTATGTACTTCAAGGGGTGTTCCTTGAAGAACATTTCACGGGAAAACTAATGGAACCATTTTTAGAACTCCCAAGTTTTGTATAGAGGAAGTTAAGTATAGGCGTTTGAGGTGATTCGATGGACGCCATTTTTTGTGTCAGAACGACATACGATATATCGCATCGATTGGTTCCATTTTTTCAGCTACTTTTAATCTTTCTCGAATTTTGAGATCGCAATCTTGTTGCCCGGAGACTAAAGAATTCTTTTACTGATTTCGACAAACAAATTCACGTAATAGAGGCGTGGTTTTTTTTTGAGGAAAAATATCGCACTCGATACTGATATCGATACTGCTTTAGAATGCGGGATTTTCTCTCTAAAAAAACCACGCCTATAATACGTTGAATTCGTTCGTCAAAATTGGTAAGAGATTTCTTTAGTCACCTGACAGCAGAATTCATGCGATCTCAAAATTGGAGAAAAATGACGAGTAGCTGAAAAAATAGAACTAATCTTTGCGATACATCGCACGTCGGTTTGACCCAAAATTTGGCGGCCATCGAATCACCCTAAAGTTTCCGAATTTTGTCCGACCTCTCCGATTGACTCGATCAGTGGCGTGGCGTGCTTTGCGATGTATCGATTTTTCTGCCATTTAAACCTATGGTAAAGAATCGATTATTAACCCATTGACTTACAATGACGGCTCAGAGCCGTCCGCTGATTGTTCGCGTTATTTCGGCAATTCTCCGGTAGATTGCGTTCTCATCAATGTTTATATGAGTAGTGTGGCCACCCTATGACTTATTGTGTACGGTAATTTCTTGTTTTGTTGCGGTATTTTCATATTACTGTGCGTTTGCACATGAAATAACCTCAAAATTTTCTGATTTTCGCTGATCTTGCGATTTTTGCGATTTTGACAACTATAAACCACATAAAAAAATCATTGTGTTCAAAGTTTTCACCATTTTTCTCAAACGTTGTATTGTGAATGCTTATTTTGTCAATTTTCACCCTTTGAGAAATAATTTCTGGATTATTTTGAAGTGTTCAAAGTTGCTGATTTTCGCCAAATTAAATCGTAATTCCTGGCCCGGCAGGGTCAAATTAAATCATAAGTCAATGGGTTTTAAGGTGTTTGCTGCAAACACCCTGATTATCGATCCTTTTCCATACAGTTAAATGGCATAACAATCGATACATCGCAAAACACGCCACGCCACTGGACTCGATCCATCGCGAGTCGCGAGGGGATGCGCTTATTAATTTTTCCGGGAGCCGCTCGAATAGTCGGGAGACTCATTTTAGAGACCCGGGCCCCGGGGGGCGGGGGGGGGGCTAGGGGNGCCGGGCGAAAAGGGCACGGGTCGGGGGGCAGACCGCCGACAGTCGCGCCGGAAAATAGGTTAGAGGCATTCAGCCAGCATCTACGGGGCTCGAACTCCCGCCCCCCCCCTTCGCCAGGGGGGTGGGCGGGGGGTAGTCCATACCGTCGTAGTAACTGAGGCGGCCTCGTCCCGATGCGAATTCAAGAATCACAGTCGCACGCTCTAAGGCGAGGGTAATCTGGAAGAAATGCGGCCACTCACCCCCCTCCCCCCCTTCACCCATCCTATATGCCCCGCGTAGCGAGTGCATTTTTCTGTTGGGAAAGGCGGGGGCCAGAGGCCCCCTTTCATTTTCTCGGAAAGGAGCTGATAGTCTACTTGACAAGGTCTGAACCAGAGAAAAACTTCGAATGTTTCCTCTTCACAATCAGACGCGGGAGACGATTCCACGGGATCGTTGGCCAACGTGAGAGATGCGAAATCACGCACCTTAATTGGATCGCATTTAGCAAAAAGGAACCAGCGTGATTATGGGGTTTTCAAAATCGTGCAAATTATTTTTTCTCATAAAAATACTAAATATATGGACGTATTTCTGCCAAACGGAACTATGTGCATTAAAACATAAGCCCTGAGATTCATATGAATACATGCAGACAGGGCTCACGTCATAATGCACATAGTTCCGTTCGGCAGAAACACATCCATGTGTACGGTATTTCTTTATTATTGGTATACAATTGAGGATTGCTGAATGTCTCGCGGAATGTTTTGGTTCTTTTGGTTTTTCGGATATTTTTGGAAACGATTCACACCAGGGGATGTTCGGGAATCAACTCTCGCACGAGGTATTGCTGAGCAGTTTTAACACGGATCAAATTTAAGTCAAATTTTACAAATGACAATGACGGTATTTGATCTTTGGAAGTCTCTAGTTTTCTGACCGAAAAAACTAAATTGAACAGGAGAGAAGATATGGCAACCTCTGATGTACTCATGCAGATTATGGAGAAAACATCCAAATATTCATGACGCTTTTCATCAGGTTAACAGAAATCTAAATAGTTCCTTTCAGAATCTGAGTCACAAAGTTGGACAGTGAGAATGAGTGAAACCTGAAACATACAAATCCAGCTCCGAGGCACTCATAAAAATCGCCTTCAATTGCTCGTCATACCTCTTTAGCTACACCAGAGTCGAAAAAGTCGCATGCAGAATTTGACGATGTCGCGCACTTTTTGTCCAGTCTCTAGTCCCGGTCAGTCTCCAAGATACAATTGGGTAAAATATAGGTTCTCCCATCCGAAAGCGACTAAACCAACTTGAGGTCATGGGAAGTTTTCGAAATGAGGTTCTGGCGTGGCATTTAAACACTAAACATTCGAGCTTACATGAAGAAAACGTGCAAAAACTGCGGGACAAATTGTAATACACTTTGCAATTACGAACTACAATTATTTGCTCATCCGTAAAAATACCTATGTACATAAGGGAACTAATGTTACAAACGTCGTTCCTAACCTAAACCAGAAATTTTAGTCCCAAATTGCAAAATGCAGTTCAATTGTCAGTGACGAACTCGTGATTTTGATCAATTATAGGTATGCATTATGCAACGTCTGCTGCGGATAGGAAATGAACGAGTAGATAAAATACAGGCCTTATTCATCCGAATTTCCCGACATTTTTCTCGGAGCTTTTTTCAACTTGCCGATTCCTGAAACTGACACCGTTCAAAAAAAAAAAAAAAAAAAAAAAAAAAAAAAAAAAATTAAAAAACTAATGTTATATCTTAAAACTTAACGTAGCAAACGATTCTTGCAACGAGTGGTTCAAAATTGAACTCCTGATTTTTAAAATTGATCAAATACGAGAAGTGAAACCAATCTTATTCATCTTACAACGTACTTTGTATTTTTGCCATTTGACCAATGTTTATAGTTGTAAACTCTTATCTTGTTTAGGAGTTGATTTCCAGATTTTTCGTCGTAAGATTAGTTTTTCTCGTTAAATTTTACCAAATTCAATTGAAATGACCACCAGAGACGAGACGTGAATGATCGATTTTTGATATTTCCCCATTTGAGGCTATGGTTAAGCATCGATTATTAAGGTGTTCGTTGCTAACACTCTGTTTATCGATCCCTTTCTATTGATTTAAATGGCAGATCAATCAATATTTTACATAGCACGCCACGCTACTGTTCGTAGTCCAACTTAAAAGAAGCAGATCAGATGTTAATCTATCTCATGTCAGTTCAATCCACGTGTAGCGAGCGTTAGTGGCTTTATGCACGAATGTTTCGCCTTCAGTTGACGAGGTATACCACACGCGCTCCTACGAGTTCGAATAGTGGTATCACTCCACCTTTGATGCATTTCGCGCAATGCGAGAAGTATTCATGCAGTCTTGTAGGCGTTACGCCGACTACTGGTGACTACGCCATTAGATATTCGATGTATTCGATCGTTCCACCTCAAAAAACGAAATGTTTTGATATCGATAGGTTTACTGCGCTCTTAAAGAGCGGCACAATTTAACGATGATGTATCGAATGACGTAGCTGCACTTAATCAGTTCACTGTAACCTAGGAAAGTCCGACGGACTATATTGCCGTGTTAGCCGCATGAACATTTGAACACTGGAAAAAAAAAAAAAAAACACATTGGATCTAGAGTCCAGACTCTTGAAAACATTGACAAGAAAAAATACTCTTAATTCAATCAGATTTATATAAGCTTAAATTAAACGGAAATCCGCTCAAATTAAGAGGCTGGGTTCTTGATTTAAGCTTAAATCCGATTGAATCAAGAGTATTTTTTCTTGTCGATGTTTTTAAAAGTCTGGACTCTAGATCCAATGTGTCTTTTTTTCCAGTGAATGTTGCAAACTTTCCTCACAGAAAACATTTATTTTCGAGGACTGCCGAGACTATTTTTCCTGAAGATTTTCAGACACTCTACATCAAATCATGAACAAAATTCCCTTCATGATTGAGAGAAAAATTTGCCCTTACGTTGCCGAAAAATCGTATTTTGTCCGGGGAAATTTGGCAACGTCTGAAAGTTCATACGGCGTTTCTCAGCACTGCAAAGTAGCGCGCGTCGATGGTCGGACAGGGTGGCCTTTGTTTGATGTTTGTGAAAGTAAGTCCGATAAACAGCCCTTTTAAGCCCGATTGCTGGTCTTTGATCTTTTTTCCTCCGTCTCCTCCACCATTGGCGTGGACGATCGATTATCGATACTTCCCCATTTGAAGCTATAGTAAAGAATCGATTATTCAAGCATCTGTTGCGAACACCCTGTTTATCGATCCTTTTCCGTAGGTTTAAGTGACAGATCAATCGATATATCGCAAAGCACGCCGCGCCGCTGTCCTCCACCGATTTCTCCAACTTGCAATCAAGGTAATTTGTACGAACTCTGCGAAAGAGTGTGCAAGACCGTCGCAGCGCTTCCGTGCTGAGGGAAAGCGCCGCGAAAACTCTGCGATGCCGCCAAGTTCCTGTCGAAAAAACAGGAATTTCCCAATACACTGAAAACAAATTCTCGGCGTTTCTACCAAGGTCCGTTGGTACCTTTACCATCTCACTTTTTTTTACCAATTATTGGTAATTTTACCAAGACAGACTGGTAAACTGACCTAAAAACCGGTATTTTTACTGTTTTTTTCAGGTAAGAATACCACTTTTATAGGTAATCAATGCCCGGTAACTTTGCCCCTTTATCTCGGTAATTCTACCACAGTCGATAAAAAATATTGGCGTTTTTACCAAGGTCCAGTAAAATTACCGAGAAAGTTCAATAATTTTACCGAAATTTCTCGGTGAAATTACCAATTCCATAAATGGTAATTTTACCAGGAAAAAACTGGGATCAAATAGAACCCTGAATTCTTGGTAATTTTACCCTTTTCTTAGTAAATACACTGAGATTTTTTTTTCAGTGTGTCCCCCAGAATCCAAGATCTAAAATTAATTCATGCCCCAGAGGGTTGACGCAATCCAGCTCTTTATCGCAAAACACGGTCCACTTTGGCGAGAACTACGTTGCACAATGCCGTCCAACCCTCAACCGCGGAGGTATCGACATTTGCACAGTTGGTACCGCACGAGCACCAAAGCACACGACACTGCGCGGACGCGCAGCATTGCCGCCCCGCACCGAAAACCAAGCCCGCCGCGAGCACAGCCGCCAGCACCGATGTAATACAGGGGCGACCCGGCAAGGGGTGGCGGTCGGCACGGCGCCTGCACGCGGGCCGCTAGGCAGACTGCAGTGCATGCTTGGGACCCGAGCGCAGCGCACGGTCCACTGTCTCCGCCCCAGTGATGCCCCGCGATCCGGATCGACGGCTCGCGACTTGATCCGCTCTTCCGCATCGCTATACAGAGACCCGGGGAAAATTCCGCGCCTAGTGATCGCCGACACCACTTGTCCCTCGTCCTCGGCCAAGTCGGGGACTCCGCTAACTGGTAGGAACGCATGCGTTTTTTCCGCTTGTAGAGGTGCCTCGCGGGCTCAGTGGGTCATCAGTCGCAGCGAGTGCATCAGTTGCATTCAATTTTTTATAGTGTTGTAAAAATAAAAATTGATCAATTCTTTGGTTAAAAGTTGCAGTAAATAAAAAATAAAGAAGTAAAAAAAGAATTATCAGTCACTCAGTGGCTCAGTTGGCTATTGGATATTGTGGCTCAGTAGCTCAGTGGGTCATCAGTTGCATCGAGTGTATCAGTTGCATTCCAATTTTTATAGTGTTAAAGAAATAAAAATTAATAGATTCCTTAGAGTAGAGCCGCAGTAAATACAAAAGTAAAAAAGGATTTCTATTGTGGCTCAGTGGCTATTGGCTGAGTGGGTCAACAGTGGCAGCGAGTGCATCAGTTGCATTCTATTTTTTATAGTGTCCTCCATATAAAAATTGATAAATTCTTTAGTTAAGAGCCGCAGTAAATAAAATATTAAAGAAGTAAAAAAAGAATTTATCAATTGCTCAGTGGCTATTGGCTCAGTGGGTCATCAGTTGCATCGAGTGCATCAGTTGCATTCTAATGTTCATAGGGTACAAAAAATAAAAATCTAAAAAGTTTTTTAGTTTAGAGCCGTAGTAGATACACAAGTTAAGAAGTAAAAAAAGAATTTATCAATTGCTCAGTGGCTCAGTGGATATTGGCTCAGTGGGTCATCAGTTGCATCGAGTGCATCAGTTGCATTCTAATTTTTATAGTGTTATAAAAATAAAAATTGATGAATTCTTTAGTTAAGAACCGCAGTAAATAATAAAATAAAGAAGTAAAATAAGAATTTAAGCTCCAGAATTCAGCTACACTTAGATGAGACACTTTGTGGTTGTTAATTTGGGGAGGAGGAGGGAGTTCGTTGAACAGGGAGCAACCGCAAGTGTTTTGGAACAAAGAAGAGTCTACGTGATGGGGTGAACGGGTTTGTCCTATAGAGGAGCTTGCCCGGCCAATATCAGAAAATCGCGTATTGAGAAAAATGCATTTGCAGGTGCATATGTGCATGCTGTGCATGTAGATGATTTTTTTTAAAAGAGGTTTATTGATTAAGATAAAATTAAATGTACGATTTATAAAAAAACTATATATTCATGAGTAATATCTTAATCTATACAACCTCTATTCATTGTATTATATACTGATATTAACTGCTGCTGATTGAAAGCTACATGTAGGTGTCAATAGACACTTAATTATTGACACAACTTATCAATAAGGGGTAATTCAGGGCTAATGTACCTTTCATGGAGTTGAAAACTGCTTTACACTGTAAAATCGTGGGGTTTTACACTACAGAAGAAAAGCAACATCAAACAAAACCGAATGGGAAAAAATTTTGATGCTATTGCTATCAACTTATGTAGTGAGGATTTGGAACTTCCTGCTTGAAAAATATATTGATGCATTTGCTCGCAATGCTTTTTGAATATTTTAACTAATACACTCATTTTTGCTGCATTCATGTTAGTTGTGTCGAGTCAAATAGGAGACAAGAGTTCATTGAACTAAAAAAAAACAGGTGTTTTGGAAAGTAAAGGGTCTATTTGTTGGTTTATAGGGGAGCTTTCCTTGGCTACACCAAAATACTACGTCTTGAGAAAAAGCATTTGATGATGCATCTGTGCATGCAATGAATAAAAAAAATTCGGACTAATACTGTCATTCGCTGCAAAAATCATTACTTTATTTAAATTTTTGATGACTTGGTTCCTACTCGTCAGTGCAAAAACAGCCGAAGAAATGCAAGTGAAGGAACCAACTGCGTTGTTGGTCGCGTGTTGAGAGAAATGCATTTGATGATGCATCTATACATGCAATGCACTTAAAACATTCTGACTTATAATGTCATTCGCTGCGGAGATCATTACTTTGTTTAAATTTTTGATAACTCGGTTCCTCCACGTCAATGCAAAAACAGCTAAAGAAACCAACTGCATTGTAGGTCGCGTCTCGAGAAAAACGCATCTGAAGGTGCATTTATGCATGCACTGCGTTTTGAAAATTCTGACCAATGAAGTTATAATTAATTAAAAAATCAATTTTTTTTTAAAATTGGTGATAACTTGGTTGCTTCTCGTCAATGCAAAAACACTGTCCGGTTGAAGAGTGGAAATTCTTAATCTGCAAATCGCCGCATGGCGTAAAACGACGAGTTGACGAAGGACATCACGTTGCGTTCTGCGGTGCTCAGGAAACACGCCGTATGAGAATTCAGACGTTGCCAAATTTCCTTTCATAAAATACCGATTTCTTGGTAAGCTTATGAATATTTTTCTTTCAGTTTTACAGTGAATTTTGTTTGCAATTTCACCTAAATTTTCTGAAAATTTCAAGGTAAAATATTAATAACTTTCCTCATAAATAAACATTTTATCGAAGGAAATTTGGCAACTCTCGAACGTTCGTTCGGCGTTTTTCTGAAGCGTTTTCCACCACTACCCACCACGATTTCTTCCACTTTCCTCCCATGTTCCATAGATCAGTGATGAAAATAATTTGCACTAGTTGCGTCATCAACGTCTATTATCGAAACAGACCGAAACGGACGCAACAACAGAATGTACGAATGTTGTAATGGTGTTTACTCTCAACTCGGCATTTCGTCGCTCTTCTAACGTAAGGGTTTCTCATTCAGGGACACATCTCGATTTCCACGTGAGCCCGAAAAAGCATAGATTTATACCGAGAACAGGGCTCACGTGAGATACGCCCTTAGGTCAGAGGAGCGACTATCTAAGCGGATTCTTCACTGTTTGCAGATCGTCAAAATTCTGTCATTAACACACAATTGAACCGCATTTTGCAATTTGGAACTATAATCCCTGGCTCAGTCGAGAAACAACGCATGTACCATTAGTTTTCATAAGGAGGGATGTGTTTTTACGGATGAGCCAGGAATTATAGCTCCAAATTGCAAAATGTAATCCAGTTCTCCGATACGCACAACTCGTCTTTTTCCTGACGAAAAAACATATCTACATCTGGACTAAATTTTGCAATTAGGAACTTCACTGTCTGGCTTATCGGTATAAACACTTTTTATGGTGCATACGTTGTGTCTAAACCGTGCTAGAAATTGTAGTTCCCAATTGCAAAATGTAGTATATTTATTGTTGTAAAATTCTCTTTCATAAAGTATTCTTTACAGGGGAGCCGTAGGGGATTTTTAACTGTGAATTTCACTGATTTTCCCTCTGATAATATACAGAAGTCAGTACAAGTTTGGACAGGGATTTCTCGGATAAGTTCTGTGTGAGTGAAATATTGAAGTGTTTAAGCCAATTTTGCAGACCTGTAATGTAATGTAGCATTCTTTTGTCAGGAAAAATCCGACCGATTATCGGAAAAGCATTATGATCTATTTCACCCATCGTTTATCAAGATTTATTGCTTTTACCACAAAGTTCTGCAAAGTAAGGGAAAGAATGGCTACAATTTAGGTAAGACGAGTAGTTTTGTCGAGATTGACTGTTGTTGATGTGTACTGTGCATCTGTTTGAACTGTTCTGTCTGAAAAGTCAAAACGCCTTCGATTTCATCAAATAGGCAATTTGGACTTCCTTCGAACACGTTCAGTCGCATCAAGGTGCAGGTATCAATTCCGCGTCTCAATTGTAGCCAGGGCCGGATTTAGGGGGTGGCCACATGGGCCGCGGCCCATCGCGGTTATTTTAGGGGGCGGCGAATTTTGCAATTTTTTTAAATGTAGGTAATATAAAAAATTGGATTCAGAAAGAATATTACAAAAGAGAAAAGCCGACAAAATTTCTCAAATCCTGAAAGTAGAGTAACTTTTTAGTAAATTTGTGAACGCGAGTAATTTTGTCGTCTTTCGGTGATATAAAAGACAGCACCTTTAATTAATCGAGTTAAGAGAGAAACCAAACACGCAATTTGGCCCGGAGCGGCGCGGCGCAGAGAGCAATGGTGATGAGGGCTGGATGAGATGAATTGGAGATGTACTCGGCGCGGCGGTAGGCATGTAACACATATTAGCGCCTACAAGACTGCATGAATACTTCACGCATTGCGTCAAACACAGTGCGTTCAGCAGCGGTCGGCTTGAAACGCACAGCGCCTACAAGACTGCATGAATACCTCGCGCATTGCGCCAAACACAGTACGGTCAGCGCGGCGCGGCGGCGGAAGTTAAAATCATTAAACCACATTTATGTTTGTTCAATCATAACTTTTTCGTTCATTTCTTATAAGTGGAAGGCCTTGTCCAGTGTCCACACAGAGATAGTTTTAGGAAACTTAACTTTCGCGCTGCAAAGTTCCATGAACTTTTGCTAGTAGTGTTGACTGGACTTTCGCAAAAAATGTGCCCAACACCAATAAACACGTCTCATGAACCCTTCCTCCTCCGAGTGGATGAGGAGATACCAGCGAAAATTTGTAGGACCGGACAACCCTCAGGGAAAAGATTACCTGGAAGACCGCCCAATAGACGGGTACAGAGCTGTACAATCGTCTGGAGATGATCGAATGTTTTATAGCTGTTCTCGTTTTTATTGACTTGACGAATCTTTCGTATTTGTTGGTGAGTTTTGCCCGATGTTTTAGGGCTCAACAAATATGGATGTGCTCTGGTCGCTAGTGGAGGAAGAGGAGCCAAGAATAAGCATCCGTTTTTTTTTTTTCTTGACTATTACCGCACATCTCTCTGCTGCATCGTTTTGTTTTATTCCTTTTCCTGTCTTATTTCTTTCCAAGTGATGACTTTTGTATCTCAATATTCTCATACCCCTCCCCCTATTCCTCCTAATGGACCACATTTTACTATTCGGAACTGTAGTGTCTGGTTCATTTTAGGGACAACGTATTGTCGTTTTCCTCACGAAAGAACGTAACTGCAATTCCATGCAGCCAAATTTTCCCGAGCGAAGTACATTTTTACCGGGATTATTTTGAGAATTTCGAACTGAAAATGTCACTATTTTTCTTCTGATCTT